ATAAATAAAGTAAGGGGCAGATGACCCTGCTCGAGGGCAATACTCGTGTTGGGTTCGTTTTCGGGGCTGGATTTGGCGTTATGCGCTAGTGGTTTATTTGACAGCTAACTGGACAATGTCGTACTCAAGTATGAGATTGACTTATATGCTGGTCGTTGGGCTGAACTTTCATGTACAGTAACTATGGCCGTGGAACCCTTTGATCCCCTGGGTGCACTGTGACTATTGCACTCATTACCCGTAGCACGGTACATTTTGGCATATCATTTGGTTGACTGCCGCATCCAGCCTATCTTGAACCCCATTTAGTTTTCTTCCTCTTCCCCGGTACCGTACTCATCTGGAGGTGGTTCGGTCTATCAATCGGCAATCCTACAACCCCTCCCCCGGCTCCTGTATTCACTACCGTACTCCGCAACCTTCGATGGAAACAAGAGCAGTCTACAGACCGCACCGTACTCGCATGCGCTGCTATTGACCCTGCGGTTCTGGGTTCATCTCCGAGCCTTAACTTAGTTCTCCCTGCTGCAATGCTTCATAAGGATATCGTCGAGTGATGGACCGTGTACTGCACTGTATTAGCTTCTAAGCTCAGCTCCTCCTTCCGTCACTCGTTCGGTTATTGTCACCGTCTCGTGCTGCGGTGGTGGGCTGTTCACCGTTACTAGGATAGGGGTCGGATACGTGTGTCCAGCGAGCCTGATTGTGATTTCAAATCACTATTTGAAAACATCATCTATCATACCCTGGGGTTTTTGTTTTCCGCATTCGTGATACTTGACTTTGGCGCTTTGTGAATATTTGAATATTAAAATTTGTTAGGACCCTCCAGTGACAATTATTTTGTTTCGTTTTCCTGACAAACGACTTTGGACCTGTTCAGCATGTCGTCTTTATGGCATGAATTTTCTCCATAATAACAGAACCTTTATGTTGAGGGGGTGTTTGGTATGGCTCCTAAAAAAAAAAGGGCTATGATATATATTGCGCTTATAACCTTTGTGGCATATTTTCCGGTTATGAGTAGTTGAGCGTTTAGGTTTGGGAAAGGGGGGAAAAAAAAAAGAGGTTCATAACCATTTTCCTTCCCACAGACAGCAATTAATAATCTATACTGAATTTAAGGGGGTCTCTCTTAGGATTATTGAAAAACACAGCAGTATGATATCATATGATACAAACTTGTATATTTTTTATATGACTATAATATACCGGACACTCGTATTCCCTTCTATCTTATATGCTTGTAGCCCTCGTGGTAAAAAATATGGTGGACATGACTGAACAGGCTCCAATTTCGGTTCAGCCCTATTAATAAAGTGAAAAGATAGTCACACAAATTCTTCTCCACGACAAATCAAAGCCAAATAGCCAGGCGCGTTTGACAAAGGAAAAAAACAAATGTGATTTCAAACAGTGGTTAAGGAAAAAAACGCTATTTTGAAATCGTAATCGCCTTTGCCAATCACCCCCCCCAACAAGATACTCACGATTAGTATAGTACACTTCACATCCGATCACTCGCTCCCCCTGACTTTACTACCGCCGAAAGCCAGCATATTTGGGAATAAGGAGATGCCGCACCCAATCCCCTGCACGGACGGCAAGCTAGTAGAGTGCAGCACGCTGGGTAAAGTAAAATAAAAATAGCCCGTGCAACCGACCATCCCCCCCCCCCCTCCACGATCCCCAATTCCTAAACCTGGAAGCGAGGAGTTTACCCGCTGCGCGCCCTACTACCGGTAACCCAGGGCGAGCACCTACATAAACGGGCACGCCAAGTACCGGTGAGCCCCTCTGCAGCGCCGGACGGCCACTTACGATACTGTGCATAAGTAGGCATTACCGCACAGAGCGCTCAGGTAGAGTGCTGTGCTATGGCAGGGTGTAAGCAGGCCGTTACTCGGCCCTGATCCAAGTTCAGAACCCGAATCCCCCCATCCCCTATCCCCCTGCATACAGCGTAGGATAGGGTATTGCACGGATGTACTCGTACTGGTACTGTACAGTACACATCTTGGCACCCCTCCGGGAAAAACTCCGCCGGCACACTTAACTTACCCACCGACCGCGGCCCGAAAGTTTCTGAAACACCTTCAGGCAATTCTGGAACTCTGGAAAGAGAAAAAAAAAGGAGAATTTTTTGCATGTGCTGGAAACTACCCATACCCTTTGGGCTTGAAATGGTGATTCATGGTAACTAGAGTATCATAGCAGGTAGGGCGCATTGGGAGTGGGGGGAAGGGGGAGCGGGGGGTATGGCAGACCTATCATACAAGTTTCCTGGAAGTTACTGCGGCAACGGACGGAATCACCTTAGGCGGTGGATTTGGGATTTACCCTTTTTTTTTTCAGGCACCAGACGGCGCGAGAGTGGGGAGTCTTGGTGAGGGGTGGGCCGGGTTGCCACGGTTCGTCGGTTGGCTGACTGGCTCGGAGTTGGTTATGGGGGTTGTGAGGTGTGTCATACTTATCGTACTGTTATGACACTGTAATCATAATGTGTCCGCAGACTTGTCCGACGGAGAGAAGTAGGAGTGCGAGTGCGAGTGATCTAGGATGATTGTGTCCCCTTTACAGGTATATATATATTCAAAAGTCGGGTTTGACAGATCTATTCTTTGTTCGGATACACTGGGCTGTTGTCGTGCGGCTTTCTGTTGAATCCAAATTTGTCGACCAGAATTTTCCGGAAAACTTCAATTGCTTTGTCTTCTCCTTGTCCCGTCTCGCAGAATCGCTCGCAAGCCTTCAATTTAATCCTATTGAATATGTCACCCCACCCCCCATCTGTTTAGTCTCCCCCTATCCGGGATTTCAGACATAACCAGCACAAAGACTCCTTGCGCAGTGCTCACTCCACCCCCGTTTGCCCCCCTCGCGCCCCCTTCCGGGCACCCGGTTAGGAATTATTGGGGAAGGCGATCCCAACTCTTCTGCCCCGCCACTACTATCACCCCTCCGCCTAGTGTACTCCTCCACCTACTGATCTATCAACAACCCCAAAGACACCAGGAAAGCCCGCGGGGAAACGGGAAAGGCGACGGGTATATGGATTGAGATCCGGGATACTCTCAATCCCAAATTGAAACCGTTATCGCTGATAGTACTACTTGGGGGTGGGGTGAGAGGATCCTAATAGGAGTCGATGGGAGCTTCTTAAAAGGGAGGAATGCCGGGGGTTGCTGCAGATGATAGCAGTGAGCCTGACCCAGGGGCTAGGTCTAAGGTGTTCTAGAGTTCCAATGGTGCATTTGGAGAATATATCTGTGGAGACGGAAGCTCGACCTCAGCCAATGTTTTTCTTTGAGGACCTGCGCCCGCTCAAGACGCAGCTGCGGAGCTGGACCTCCTGGATTCTGGGGCGGAATTTAGAGGTTGTGTGGGAAGTGAAGAGGAGCAGGTGTCATGTCAAGGGCCCCGGAATCGGAGAGCAGATGTTGGCATGTTCCTCGGATCGGATCACGAAGGGTTCTAATAGGCCTTGCTGTTATTCTGTGCGGAGCCGTACCGTGCGTGGGAGGAAGAAGACTTACACTACTATCATGTAAATTTCTAGACCTCTTTATCATCCTCCATGTTAGAATTGTCGATGTTAGTTTAACCCTGAGGGAGGGGGTGATGAGGTACTAAACCATTAAGAACCCAAGATCAATCCTAGTAAATCATCCACCCATACAAGTGGATATACCACCTCCCCGGCCCTCTCTGCGGAACTCCCTCCTCCAACATTTCTCGAAGGAGATACTCTACGACTCCATCATACACCACCGAAAGCCAAACTCCAGCTGCACCTCTAGTCCCTCGGTGCACAGAGATATTGTGCGCGAGTGTAATAGCTAGGAACGTCAAGCCCATGCCAACCCCAAATAAAGCCTTACTTTTCAGTTAGCCATCAGAACATCTTGTAGCATTATTTCGGAAATCACTCATGTGCACATACTGATTTGATTCATACTGACCAATGCGCAAAGTCGTTGCCCCATCTCAGTATTCCAAGTCCTGGCGGTCCTAAACATAGGGCCAGAAGGGGGGGGGGGACAGTGTGACTTCGCGGCGATGATGGCCTTCTGGTAATATCACCACGCAGAGTATAGCGTCCACGACGGCACAAAAAGTAATAAGATATCATAGCGGATAAACAAAACCAATAATCCGTACAAGTCCAATCCCACCGCCTGTGACATATCATCCCAAGAAAGAAAAGAAATTCCACCCATCAATACCAGTATAAAGAGCAATATCTCCCGTGCATTCACCAGGAACATTTCCACGAAATTTCCAAGCACAAGTCACTAAGATTTGCAGCTCAGGTCATCACATCATGTCCACCGGACGTCCCAAGCAGCGGACGAACGGCAAGTAACAAAGGAGAAAAAAAATCGGAGGGGAAACATACAGAACCCATGTGCCATTGACAGCATACCCCCCTTGGCAACTGCCCGGGTATTAGACCCTATTCACTTTGATATTGGGTATCGTTCCGCATCCAATTGCTCCCAGCGAGGAGGCTGTTTCTTCCCCCCATCCTTAACCCCGCTAGCTATGCTGCGATAAAGTCCAATGAGCTAGGTGTACCAATTGCAAGTCAGGAGTAGTAAAGAAGGAAAGAGAGTGTCGATAGCACTACCGTTGTTGACTAGTCTAGAGCGCTATTGTAAATTTAGGTACAAATGGGAACTATTGTGGATCCTGAAGGGGATTGGAGCAAGAGAAATAGCGGGACGGTGATGAACAAATGGGAGGGAACATGTGCCGGTGCGAGAAGTCGGGCCTGGGTGGTGGGGAGAATGATCTCGCGACACAGCATCATCGTCATGATCCTGAATTACTGTGTAGAAGCATTCTTGCCTCTCGATTCTAGTCTCAGGCTATAGCTTTTATGGTACCGTGCTTTTGAATCCAGAGAGGAAGAAAAGGAAAGGGGGAACACAGGAAATGCGAGAAGAAAGACAGAAAATGTCTTTATGGGCTAGGAATGCGCACCATACCCGCCTGCGGGCTTAGAACGACCAGTTAAATGAGTTCACCTATCCCTAGACTGGCCAAGGTGCCAAGTCTCTGCTATGGGTTTAAGACCAACTACCGGTAGAGACATAAGAAACACCACAGTATTGAGATCAAATACCGGTAGCACCCGTGCATCAGGGTTCTAAAGGGAAAAGCAAGGAATATTCATCGAGGACATTAAGCTTGACGGCATGCCAGCACCGCAGCACCGTTACCAACCAGAGAGAAAGAAAAGTGGTGAGATGGTATGAGGGAAAAAAAATCTGTGCTAATAAACGTATCATGAGGCATTTCGTTAAACCAAGCCAAACTCCACCTGTAAAGTGCAACCCAAACCGATCAACCCCCAAACCTCAAGGGAAAAAAGGAAATTCAGTACTTGTACCCCTCCACAGAAAATAGAAAAAAAGATCCATAATACAAAAAGTTTATCGAAACATTACTCGCTGCAGGGGTTATGATCTCAATTGGACCGATGCGGAAATATACCAAAACTGGGGAACAGGAACACCCCAACACATCCTCTGTCCGAGCATGTCGTAACGCTCCAGCCTGCTCTATCGCATAGAGTAGTGCCTCCACGTATGATACCCCACACCGCCAAATTGTATTAGAGTGAGCACTAATATACTCTGAACACTCCCCGGCATCCTCGGCCTTCTATTAGACCCATCCGACCGATTTTTGATTTTTTTGTTTATCCCCTAGCGACACTCGCCACATGGTATCATTACTATACCAATTGGTTGATTGACTGAACACTCATCCCACTTCTAAATGCCACGCCGTAGCCGCACTCGCCCTAGTTGCTTCTACTCTCTGCTCTAACAAAATCACGATTCTTGAGTTCCTCCAGAACGAGGTCCTCCCTGCACAGCTCCTCCTTCTGGAACTCTAAACCGTCCAACTCTTTCATCCTAGGGCATTTCTGGCCAACCATTATCTCGTACCTCCTTCTTGTAACTGCTGATTCAATATCCATCTGCGCCTGAAAGGTGTAGTCACTCGCAGAGTCACCCGGCACCATGGTGAAAGGATCCTTTACATATTCGTCAGGATCTCCCGGCGAAGGGAGCGATCTGCGAGAGGAGGAAGCAGGATAGAAGCCTATCGTGAGAGGGTTCATTCTAGAGCGATAGTAAAGGCAGATGTCAGCAGCCATGCCAATAGATTCAACAGTACAGAATATCCGAAACGAGGTTGAACCACGGACCGGGTATATAAAACCCAAGCAGACTAAAAACCCATGGAGGGGCAAGGGGTCAGACGGTGTCCCTACCTTAGATCGAGATAGCTCAGTGACTGGAAATGCCCAAGCACGGCGCCTGTTTTCCTCATACTTTTGATCCTGTTGCCCACAAGCAGCAGCTTCTTTAATCTCACGATCCCCAAAAGTGGCCTCAGATCCGAAATTGCATTGTTGTTAAGATTCAAGACTCTTGTATTGCACACAAGATACCCGAAATCCTCTGGAAGGCTAGTCAGTTGGGCCGATGCAAGTTCCAGATACTGTAGATTCAAGAAGTCCAATCTAAAGCTCAGATCCCGGAGCGGGTTTCCTGAAAGGTAGATCTTCCGGGCTTCGAACATCCTCTCAGATGGGATCGTGAATTCTTTTACGTCTTGTTCTCTTGTTGAAATGCTGTCCAAATGCATCGCTCGGCTGAGACCAGCAATATCTTTGAGGCGATTATTATCCATATAGAGTATTCGAAGATTTGGGTACCGCGACACATCGAAAGTTTCGAAGTTATTCTGTGTAAGTTTTACCGAACGCAAAGAATCAAGTTGGACCCCGTTAGGAATATTCAGACCGCACAGCCTATTCTGATCCAAATTAAGGTGAATCAGAGCAGGAAGGTTGTCGAGTCCTAAGATAACCTCCATGCCGTTGCCTCTTAAGTCCAACTCGGTGAGGCGTTTCCTGGGGGGGCACCGCGAGTCAGCCTACACCCAAAACAGGGAGCTCCCGAGAATAAAAACAGCACTTACATGGAAGCCTTCTCAAACGACACAGTTGTCAACCTATTTCTCCTAGCCCTCAATGACACCAATCCGTCCATGTTCAGAACACCCTCAAGGCTCTCCAAAGAGTTATCATCTGCTTTGAGTTCTCTTAGATGTTTCAGGTTCCTGAGCCCATCTAGGTTTTCTAGGCCATTCCTCGAAATATCCAAATACTGCAGATTGAAAAGATGTCCAAAGTGGGTGATCGAACTCAAGCAGTTACCCGCCGCCTTTAGACCCCTCACGCTTTCCGGAACCCCCGAGAGCTGACCAAGCTGGTTATTACTGACGTCTAGTTCCTCTATTCTCTGACACCATTCGTTGAGAGTATGTAGTGTTTCCATCTTCCTGTCAGCGAGCTTTAGGAACTTCATCCACTCCCAATATGGCTCATACGGCTCCACATCCGTAAGGGTTTTAATAAGGTTCTCCTGGGCGATCGAGAAGCTTGCTTCGATCGACTTAGTGCTAGCCTTAGGCCCCCTACGAGTCGCAAGAAACGAGAGTTCGAGATTGACCAGAGCTTCCGTGGTTTCATAGTGATACGAGATGTCTGCTAGTGGCGTCATATGGAATGACACATCTGCCTTTTTGACTGCTGATGGGGGCAGGCTCGAAACATGGGCAGCAAAAGGGGTAGGAAGAGGTGTCAGCACGCTGCTCAGGCTAATCCTGCGAAGAGATTGCGAAATATCATGCACCCCAGCGGTTTCCTCATCTTCCTCTTTAATTCTTGAGATCGGTCTTCCAACGAAGGACTTATTACCACCCGAACGGCGCCTAGCGGCCCCTCGATAGGTACCGCCGGATGAAAATATTCTCGAATTTCGCCGTGTCTGTCGGAGTGAACCATGATCAAGGAACCCATCGACGCCAGTATCCAAGCAGCTATCGTCGCCATCATCCCAGGATTCAGGGACCTCCCTCGGTGAAGAAGTTGACTGTCTCATCATGGACGCAGTTGTGGGAGAAGAATAATCTTCAGCATAGGAGATCTGCCTTCGCCGGGTGGGCTCCGAGATCCTGCTCTGATCATCCAAAGCTGGCTCCGTGGGCTGAGATAACTTTTCGCTAGGGACACTCCTTTCCCCCTCGCCATTCTTGCCTTCCTCATCCTTCTTTTCGCTCACTGTATTCTCCTCAATACCGCACGTTGCAGTAGGACATCCACCGGCAATAGCAAGCTTGCTTCCGTGGCTTCCAAAACTGGTCACTCTAGTTTCTGTTCCGGTTCCGGCAGACCGGCTTTTACCGCTCCCAGTACCAACGGTGCTTATGTTCTCACCACCAAACCAAGGCCGGCTTTCCCACATCTCTGTCCCATCACCAGTCAAACTTGCATCACAATCATCTTCTGCGTCCAGGATCAATCTCGAGCTTCTCCAGACACCACTCTTCTCTCCATCGCTTGTCATGCCTTCCCATTGCTTCCTTGCCATCTCCAGAGCCTGCGCTTCCTCTTGGGAATTTACACTTAGATCCGATATCCCCACAAATGGATCAGGCTCGGAAGCCTCCTCATCCGGGCTCTGAGACTTGACCCACGCCATAGACTTTTGATCGAAGGTCATCTCTGCAGAGTCCCTCGAGACTAAGTGGTGGCTCATCACACGTAAGTCGGGGGTAATGACTTCTACTGAGGATTTGGATCCCCGACTGCCAACCGAAGATTGAGTGTCCAGAGTGTCGTGATGTATATCCCCGGAATCACTATGAGGGTCGGGCGCATTCTTGAAGGTGACGATATTAGAGACTTCACGGAAAACACTATCTTCCGTCCCATCACCCTGTAGACTGCTTGATTCTACCAATATAGAATTTCGAGCCGGTGGACTTTTCCGTATCTGCGAGTCCGTATTGTAGCCACTGCTAAAACTCTCACCCTCGCCGTTCCCAGTTCTAGTTCCAGGGCTGTCAAAGTTACTCTGTCTAGATCGTAGCCCCATGCCTCTGATTCTGTCCATCACCTCTTCAGCCTGTAGGAGAAAGTCCTGCGTTGTGACACTTCCTTTCCTTAGAGTCTCGGATTCCCCTGGCTGTGGCATCTCAAACCTCTCACCTTCCATAGCATCGCCCCTGCTTCCGCTGAAAACCAACTTGCTGCCGTTCCCCCCCGGAGGGTTACCATTGGCTGGCGAAAAATCTCCGCCATTCGAAGCACCATAGTTGTAATCCCTCTCTAGAACTGGGACCTTCCGCAACCTATCCCTCGAGCTTGGTGTGGGAACCTCTTGACTAACCGTAATTCTCCTCCCTGATTTTGATGCTGGGGTTCTAGGAAGTTGCTCATGCCTAGGGGTATGAGAAGTCCTGCTCCTAGGTCGACCGGAACTCAGCAACAGACTCCCCTCTTCAACCCCAGGCGATATTCGGCGCGTTCGCCCAGGTGTGCATCCAGCCGAATGAAGTCTTCCCGTTTTGAGCTCACTATTATGGCCATATCCACTGCTATTGCTCCGTCTAAGTCTCTTTGGTGTTCTCTCTTTGACTGGGCTAATAGGCGCTGAAATACCATCATTAACAGCGGCGCTCTCATCGCTTCTCCATCTGCGGTGTTTTCTAACTCCCTCCACCAATGACTCCTCCTTAACGCCAGTGACGCGCTTCGGCGCTGATTCCGGAGCCGAAGTATGACGATGGTGAGCCAACGCAGTAGTAGTGGTTGTGGTTGTAGTCGTAGTTCTGGTTTGTTTGTGCGACTTGATGATAGCTTTAGTATAAGCAACATTTCTCTCCGCATTTTTTGAAGGTGACTTCTCCTTCTCTTGTCTCCTCGCCATTGCCTCTAACCTGTTGACAACCATACTCCCACCAGAAAACTCGGTACTCTCTTCTTCTTGCCAACTACCCCCGTGCTCGTCCTGGCTACTCGCCACTCGAGGTAACACGAATTTCGGTTTCTCAACAACACTGTCCTCTAATTCTCCAAGACGCTTCACGAGTTTTTCATTGGTGTATGTGTCATAGTTGCTATGGAACAACTTCAATGGGCTGCCAGAAGATTTGCTATCACCCATGATTCTCACCTCCCCTGCCTTGACAGGTGGAGTTCGTGGCGCCGGCAAGATATGACGTTCGGAAGAATAAGAGGAGACAAATGGATCATCCTCATCGGTCATCACGGAGGAGTTAAGTGTGTTCTTTAGCGGAGATTTGGGCGCATCCTTGTGCCGCCGAATGTTATCCAAAATAGTATTTCTACCCATACCTTGACCATCCGCAGACTGAGCTTCACCCGAGAGACCAGTGGTGTTTCCATGAGAAGATGGCTCAACGTTAGAGACAAACGGAGAAGCTAACGTTTTCTCTTCCTCCTCCTCATCCCCCACCCCCTGAATTCGGCTCCGGCGTTGAAGGAATGCTTTACTAGGCGACATAAAAGGGGAACCTAAATCGCAGGCGCTCCCCTCTGCGTCATTTTCCACCTCGTCAAATGTGTAACCTTCTTCGCCCTCCACCTCGCTTTCTCGGGACCGACCAGTTCGTGAATATGTGTGTGCCACCACTGGTGGGCTCGAAGGATATACCGAAGTATCGCTCTCTTCGGGCAAGGACGGCTTCCTTTCCTTAGATGCACCAGCACTCGACACCATCTCTCCCAAGGTATCGTCCATTTCCAGCGCCTCTTTGTCGTGGCAGCTTAACGATAATATCTGCGACCCTTGCCCCGTGGCAGGATCTCCATTTCCCATTGGTGTCGGCCCCAGCCCAACTGTACCCTTTAGAGACTTTAGACGCCCCGTGCAAACTGGACTAATGCCTTCATCTCTCTTCATCTCTTCACTCGTATTTCCCGAGTGAGCTCCAAACATTCCTGACTTGGCTTTGTAAATATGTCGAGACTCGGTATCGCCCGGCAACACAATCTGGCCTCGAACGTCGTTTTCAATACCGGCGTAATTGTCTGTTTCCCGCTTTCCCTTCATAGAAACGTCCTCCGATCCCAGGGGTGGCGTTGACGATCCTCTCCTGTGCATACCCCGTTTAAGCATAGATATTTTCTTGAGCTTAGGCAAAGCTGAAGAATTATTATGCGGAGGAGAACTGTGGTCCTTGAGGAAACTGATTCGCTGTCGGCTATCCTCCTCCCGTAAAACAGGCAAACCAACTCCAAACGAAGTGTTTGTAGGGATTGGGATAAGAGATCTATTTGCCAGTTTCTTAGACTGTTGCTGTTGCTGGTCTCGTTCCACGATAACACTTGGTGAACCAACGCTAGGAGGTGGTTGAAACATGGACTCCAACTGAATAGGACTGAATAAATCCTTTCCCCCATGCCCTCCAAAGTCCTCCAATAATTTTCGCCTCCATTCAGGTGTCTCCTTCCGCTCGTTCCCTCCTGTTGAATTTCGCCGCCAGTGACCGGTTGCTGAGTTTACACTCGAATGGTTGCGTTCATGCAGCACACGGGTGGTTCCCGAAGAGAAGTTTGAACGCATTGTTCCCCCAACTGCACCACCAGCGTTCGAAGGGGAGGAACGTGGCTGAGAAACCCAATCTTCAGAAAGACTATCAGACCACTGATCAGCCATTCTTTATTATGCTTGTGAAGTTAGTTTCTTATTCTAGTAAGCAGACAAAGCTATTAGTTTTATGTGCTTCCTCCCTCACCATCCGCCCCGGGATAAGTAAACATACCTGGAATATATTAACGCAAAAGTTTGTAAATGAGCGTAAGAGAAAAAATGTTTGTCGTTAAGAGCATCTATATAAAGGATTGGAGGACTGGTCACGAAAGGTTTCTAGAGGGTAAAAAAAGATGATAGCAAACAAACAGGCGGGAGATGGGTTTATGGACTCGAAGAAAAGACGCGTTGTTGATAATTACATAACAGCAGGTGGGGCGAGGTATGTCGTCCCAGCAAGCAGGATCATCGACTTAGAGGGCCGAGGTCGTGTAACTGGTTCCTGTGTTTGTGTGGGACAGACAACCGCAGTTGCTGGAGCAACGAAACCGCATGAGATCACCGCGACACCAGAGCCGCATACCAATATCATAATGGGGATGGCAATGTCTTCTGGTCTTTCACCTATCGTTAGTCCTCAGAGGTCGCGGCAACTCAGACTACAGACTGTCATACTTCTGTAGCCTGTTTAATGCGGTATCAAATAGAAAACACTCCGGTATCCAAGTACACTCACACCCCGCTATCCCGAACGGCCAAAATCTAAAGAATCTGTCCGGTAGACGTCCGGTACAACTGGTTAATTGGAACAGGGGGTCAAGTTTTGCTGTGGAAAAATTCTTGATCCACAGCATCTCATACGGGACAGCGGGGTATCCGCATTATCGAGATCCGGGACAGCGGAGTTTAGGTGTATCATACTCCATCAAACGCCAGATATGGTACGCTACTACTCGTACCGTACGGGATATAAGGGTCGGAAATGTTATCCCTTCGTTCGTTCCCGAGTTTCACGACCTTTTAGCGCGTAACTTGTCCTCTGGTCTCCAAAAACTACCGTAGGCTCATGAAAGGATGGCTGCGGTTGCTCAATGGTGACCTGGCCAATATAATTTGTGACTCGCAAGGAGTCAATTAATCTTTCCCTCAAGTAGCGAGACTATCGCCCTATTCGTCTCGGGCGTGAGGTCCTGAATACAGACGAAGGGATGTTAAACAGGGGGCTTTCTGCCGTTGTGACCTAGGATAAATGCCAAGCCTCCTAATCAGGAAATTAGCAAAAACGAGGGTCATGACCCCATCCTGTGACTACCCCACCTCACAAGCCACAATTTGTGAGGCCAGCCGAGGTCATAAAAGTCACCCCACCGGACCCGACCTTTCCTCCTCCTTCCTCCCCATACCACTCCCAACCCATAACCCATCCCTCCCAACTTTGCTCCCTCCAACTCACAACTCACAACCTGATTCCTGACTCAAGGAATCTCGTCCCACACCTCACTCACTCCACACTTCCCTTACTAATCAACTCTCTCTTGCCGCACTCGGGAACTCTCGCACCAAAAATCGAGAATCTGTCCAAAACAGTCTACTTCTACATTTAGCCAATCGGGTTCCTTGTCACTGGGAGCCAAGCGCTGATTAAAAGCAGAAAATGTGAGCTCAACCCTCCCCTCCTGCTGTCCCCTCGCCAAGTTGGTTGCTAACCCTCTCCACCTGGACACAGGGCTTCGGGCTCGTTTAGAGGGCAAGAATTGACTTTTTCATTCCTTATACACCAGATTCCTGCAATGTCTGAGCCAACGTCAGATATTCAACAACCACCAAACAACGGGCACAATGAGGACCACTCGCTCCCTAACGATAGTGCTGGCGGTTTTTCTGCGATTAACCGTGCGTTTCTTTTCTTATCCATTTTTCCATTTTTTTCCCTCCCCTTCTCCCTCTGCTAATATATTGCATCACAGGCCTTGATAATTCGCAGGATGCAGTGGACCCAGCTCTACAAACCCCGCTTCAGGCAGTTGCCGCATTTAATGCCGCTTTCCCTGATATCGATCCCTCCCCAAATAGGTGGGGGAAACGCCAGGCGGATACCGAGATCCCCGAAGATGCCATGGACGATATCGCTGCCAAGCGCCAGCAAATGGAGGATTTGGCGGCCGTCTCGCAAACTCTTAGTTCTCACCTCGTCCAGGCCGACCTTAGCCAGGATGAAGTCAATGGGCAAAATCTCTCGATGGCCAACTTCGCCGGTGGAAGCGATGCTGTCAGCCAATATGCGCCGCAACCGCACACGCCTGTCGTGCAGAACGATCACCAGAACGTTTTAACGCATGAGACGGAGGATGACGGAATGGATCAAGACTTTATGAGCGACGAAGAGCAGGAGGGCAATTCGGGGCCAGCCTCCTGGGACCAGTATGACCATAACTCTTTCTTGATGTGGGATGCAAACCGTAATCTCCGGATTCATAGCTTGCCCATTCTTGACAACTTGGTGAGTATTGAATCTACCCTTTCGCTCGATATCTTCGGCACCTATCTCTAACGAAATCCAACCCTCTATGGTGTACAGTCTTCTCAAATTCTGAGCACTTTGGGCAAAGGGCCGTACCAGGAAACTTTAAACATCGTTACCCAACCAGAGTCCGACCAGGGTCAAGCATATAATACTATGAAGACTTTATTCGACCATACAAAGAAGCTCTACACCCATGAGGCATTTCTTTCGGCCGACGAACTCAAATTTGAACAGCCCGAGCAGCGTGCGACTATCCGTAGAGTCAACCTGGCTACTTTTGTTTCCTCCGTTTTCGGATCCCAGGAAGTTGGTTTTTTCCACCTTAATGAGCATTTCCTCGACACCTTTGTTCCCGATGGTGGCAGGCTCTTGAAGTCTCAAGGCGCTTTGTATTTGGATCTCAAAACTCAGGCCTATATTTCTGCGATGTCCACCAACGAACGCGACAAAGAGGATATCTTGCTTGATCTGTTCCCAGATGACATGAGCTCCATCCTTTTGAACCGTAAGCCTGGGGCCAAGCAATTGACACCCAGCGAGCTTGATTTCGCTCATAGGTTGGCTCAGAGGAAACAGCACTTGATGATGATACCTGATGACGTGAACCTGAGTGAAAAGTATGTCTGGCAAGAATTCTTGAAGGAGGTTAGCTGGTATGTCAGCAAGAATTACGAGTCTATTGTCGCTCAGCCGGTAAGTTCAAATTCCCTTCTTTCCCCACAAGGCAATGTCTGAATTTCTATAAACAGATTCGCCGTGTCAGAAAGCGTAAATCACCTTCTCTTTCCAATGTCCGAACGCCTACCTTCGGTCACGCAGGGTCCCCGCTCGCGGGCAGACGCTCCATGTCTCATGGGCCTGAGGATATGAATGGTAGTCCCCTTGCACGCTCCGAGTCTAGAACTCCAAACGGCGGAGAAGTGTCAGTCGCCCAACTAGCTCTCGAAAACGAGCTCTTCGGCTCCAACACTAGTATTGCAATGTCACTCGGGGCCCCTCCCTCTCAGCCGTCGCCACCCCAGAGCGCACCTACCCAGGTCCTTTACGAGCGCGCCCGCATGGCCGCAACCGCAAAGGCCTCGCCTAATTCCCGCCGTGCAGGCCTCCCATCTCAACGCCGTCCCTGGACCACTGAGGAGGAGAACGCGCTCATGGCCGGCCTCGACCGCGTCAAAGGCCCACACTGGTCGCAGATCCTCGCAATGTTCGGTGCCGGCGGAACAGTTAATGAAGTTCTTAAGGATCGCAATCAAGTTCAACTAAAAGACAAAGCTAGAAACCTCAAGCTATTCTTTTTAAAGTCGAACATCGAAGTCCCTTACTACCTTCAGTTTGTCACGGGCGAACTTAAGACACGCGCTCCCGGCCAAGCGGCCAAGCACGCGGCCAAAAAGGCCACCGCTGCGAGCGCTTCCGAAGACGCCGCCCACGTCGCTGCTGTTACCGCTCTCGGACAGGCACGCAATATGACTCATTTGAGTCAGGCAATCGATATGGATCAGGTTGTGGCAGCAGCGGCGGCCGCAGCAGCAGCTGGAGGACTAGGGGAAGGCAGCTCTTCCCAGGAGGGATCTCACCAAGGCTCTGTTGCTCCAATGGCGGATATGGGAATGGGAGTCGATATGACCGTCACCGATCAACTTCAACAGCACGATCAGCTTCCCCACCATGGTACCACTGCTCCTAATACCCCTTCTGCTATTCATCACCATCCCGACGCCGCCCCTAGTCACGAGATTCCTAATACCATCGTCACCCATCACCAACACGATGGTAGACTTGACCCCGTCCTAATGATGAGTGGTGTCTCGGCGATCGAAACCGCGCCTAATACCCCCCAGGTGGTCGACGGCGACCTTCAAAACTAACTCCAAATTTAAGCTCCTACCTACCCCCATGGCATCTGTTCTGGCTTTATTCCATCCACACCTTTCTAACAAAAAAATATATAAAAAAAGTGCGAAGAGGAAAAAAAAAACATTATCGGCGGGCGTGTAAAACAAAGCTTACAGTATCTTTTTACCACTTGCTTTATTATACCTGGGGGTATCCTTACTGCCTTACCTATACCCCACCTTGCCCTCCTTGATATATCGGCCTACTTTATTTCTTCTTCTGCAACTGGTTTTCGTTATTCGCTTTCTTTCACTCTCGGTTGCTGGTTATGCTTTGTACTAGTCCGATATAATCTGGTCTGATGGATGGATTGTGGTAGGGACCAGCTGCCAGGTTTACCCATAGGAAAGCTCTTATTAACTTAGCGGAAATCTTTAGCTTTAACTTTTTTTATACTTCTTTTTTCTCCTCTCTCGGTCCTCCTTTCTTTGTTCCTCGTGACATATCCACACACACTTCTTCTCCACCTGTGCATTTCTCTTCCATTCTTGTGATATTCATTCTACTTACTCGCCCTCCGGGCTACATTACGCTCCTAATCTTCACACCAGCTTTGGTACAAAAGTCTTCTGCTCTTTGTTTTCACAGTTACTGGGGCGTTACTTCTCATATTTCCGTCACCCTTTTTTTATTTTATCTTCCCTACGTACTGTTATTTCCTGTCGATACTCCTGCTTCATATTCCGGTTTGCTTGTTTGTTGGCTGGCCTTTTTGGGAATTGTTCGCTTTACCTAGGGTGGAGTTTTTTATTTCCTTTCTTCTTCGGGTTTTCCTTTCAGCCGTCTTGTCGACGGGCGAAGGGGACTATTCAGGGATAGGGACAGGGTTAGGAGGGTGTAAGAGAGGGACGTATGAAGGACAATGATGTTGATGAGTGGGTGGAAAGCAAAGGGTGAATGTAAAAATGTGTATATACTGCTGAACTTAACAGGGGAGTTGTCAATTTCAGAAGGGGGCACCCATATTTCTCCCTCCCTTAAAAAAGGAAAAACAACGCGTCCAGTCATTGACCGAGACTCCGAGTGATATTACAGTGTCACCAGCCATCCGACCGTGCCACTCCTTTGACTAGACGGGACACCAAGGCCGCCCAGTCGACGAGTGCGAGGACGGTACTACCGGTAATGCTAAATTCCTTCCACGGATACTGTAATATTGTATCGCCCTCTTTTATTCAATTTACCTATTTTTATCCCAACTTGCTGTAGCACCAGCGTGCTCAAAACTAAGTCCATTAACCAACCCCAGTCATCCACAGCCGACAGCCATCCACCCCATCCTGCCCCCCGTCTAAATTCAAGACACCTCTGCCTCACACACACACCCCCCCCCCCCACATCATATACGAGCCGTACTAGCGGGATCACCAAATTATTATCAGAATCAGTAGTATCTGGGTGAGAATTTACCTGGTAGAGGAACAAGTGATTGGAAAAGAGAGTTCGCGTCTGGCCACCCGGCGGGATATCACGGGCAGTTGCGCATCCATCCATTTATCACAGTTGTGCATGGTTCTAAAGATATTATTGTAGGATTTGTTGTTGTGTGGGCACAAGTTGGGTTGAGGGGGCGATTTACTAACTGATTTCGAGGTAAAGAGGAAGCAATGATCGGGAAGATATGTCCTATTGAAGGAAGTGAGCGGTTGCGAATTCGTGCACAAGTATAGTGAGCATCGTGTGTAGGAGGAATACATGCGCAATCCAAAACGTATAGAGCACATCCCTAGGACGGGCATGCACGACGCCAGGGAGGATACAGATTATTCAATGGAGGAAAGAGCTGTGCCCAGGCCATAGCAAATCCACACTCTAAAAAAGACGCAAGAAAAAGAACCATTAAAAGTACGATATTCAAAGCCCCAATTACCCCCAGCCCAAGCTCCAGAACACCATCTACATGCACCCCGAAAACAAAATGGAAAACCGCTAAACGTCAACCCCCAAGGGATCCCTCCCCAAAAACACCCCTGCGATCCTGCGACTACAAGCCGCGCCAACAGTCCTGCTACTCTGCAATCCATTCCTAGTACTCGAATTCTACTCACCAATTAGCACTCCCCTTTCCCCCGCCATCTGGTGGCAGCAGACATACCTCAATACCTGCCAAAACCTCTCCGCCTCCATGCTCAATCGCATGAACCAGCCTGCGCACGTCGGGATACTCCTTTGCGATCGCTGCGGAAATGCCCGGCGTGATTCGCGTGATCTCCTGTAGCATTTTTCGGTAGGTGTCACGCTTACCAAGGCCGGGCTTTACCTGCCCAACTTCGGCGCAGAAGGAGGTGTCAAGGTGGGCTCTACTATGTCTACTTTGTGTTAGCTCCTCCCCTACTATGGTAGCTGTGGGAGGGGGGGGCACCTGTATGGAATTGTGGAGATGTCACCCGTAAAGATAGTTATCCATTCTGCGGTTTCCACGGGTGAGGATGTGTGGTGAATTAGACAGTTGTGTGTGATTTGTAAGTCTAGCAAGGCGTCCTCGACATCATCTTCATTAATTAGTGTATCATCGTCCGTGCCCAGGGCTGTGGAAGCACCGGGGATATTCGGGGCGCTGGGGAGATGACTGAGAACTCGGGTTTGGTATGCACGATTTTGCAGGTTTCTATGTTTCCGGATGAGCGCTTGCAGGCCTTCGATCAGATATATTAACCTAGTAGGCTTCTGCATCGGAGGAGTTGGGAGGGCAGATTTCATTTTCTGGACGTGTGCTGGTAACCTACTGGCCGTTAGGGGGAGGGCTGTGTCCGTGAATTCTTTTGCGGTCAGGTAGACAAGTATGTGGCTCTCATGCCGGATCTGCTCGCTCTCCAGCGGAACAAACATCCCCAGGCCTTCGTCGAAATCGGCTTTCACCCTTCGCCGCCACTTCACCAGTTTCAAGTTACCGGGGAGTGGCGGCACCCAGGTCGGGTTTACTTTACACCCGAGTTCCAGTAAGAAGCGCTGTAACTGCTCGCCGGTGGGTGTGTCCGCCAGGAACATGGAGATGTCGGCGACCATCTCTGGTACGGAGTCCCTCTTTGAGCTACGGAGTTTGTTGGCGGATAAGAAGTCTTGCTCTCGTTTCTTTTCTAGCTCCTTCGCTTCCTTTTCTTGCTTTCTGGCTGCTTTCTGGAGCTCCTTTTCTGCGTCTTTGGCTTCCTTTTCGCGTTTTTTGGCTTGGCGGGCTTCTTCCCTTTCCGCCGCCCGGCGGGCTCTTTCCTCGCCTGTTATGCGGGTTGATATTTTTGTGGGTTTCGTGGGGATGTCCTCATCTACTACTTCAGCGCTGACTTTCCGCCGGCGTTTTGGTGACACGCCTTCTGTGGCCACTGCTGCTGCAGATTTGCGTTTCCCTCTCTTTTCCGGTTCCGTCCTTAGGAGTTCTTGAAGTTCTTCGCTGTAACTCTTTGAGATATATGTCCCAGGGCCGTCTCCAGAACTGGAATTCTCGGAACCAGATTCGGAGACAAGATCAAGGATGCTGTCACCAGACTTACCCCCCCGATCCAGAGGCCGCCCGGGCGCACTGGGGAGGGAGTTCAGTACAGAGCCAGAATCTGAGTCCAGCATAGATGCACCAGACCAGGATCGCTTTGATAAGGGAGGAAACTTTGACAGAGGTGGCTCAATGACCTCTATATCCGATCCATCACTCTCGGGGGCCGCTCGCTTTCTAGGCGTCGGAGACGCAGAATAAGCTGCTCCTCTGTGTAGGACTTGAGCCATTGCTGAGCTAAGAAGCGTTACCGGCATCGGTGTCGGAGAAATGGGTCTTTGCAGAGGCGATGTAGCGTAGGGATTAGGGTGTCCACTTGAAAACGGTGTAGATTGCGTGGAAAACGCCGTTGATGAAAGCGGCAAGAGCGGCGATCCCCCAAACTCAGGAGTGCGATCTCTCAAGGGCGGGAGAGCCCTATATGGGGAGGGCACATTATCGGGTAATAGTTCAAGATCGCCCTCCGGCGCCGAACTTCTAAAAAGCGGAGACTTTGAAACCGCTCTCAATGAACTGGTCGGTAAGAAGGTTCGCTATGACGTGGAACAGACAACTTACTTTGCTATTTCCTTTCCCTTTCCCTTGTAGGCTTTGGCTAGATTTCGCTTTGCGGTGGCGGGGCTCAATGGAAGTTTGACGGGAGTGTCTTCGGATAGATCTATTATAGGAATTCCATTGCTAGCCCCTTTGTTCGTACCGGCCGCTCGACGCAATACGCTAGGTCGCCGCGGATCTCGAGCAGTCCCACATAAAAACTGCCCCCGTCAGTCAGTCAATCAACCAATCTCAACCAAGGAGATTCCCTCTCACCCGGCCTTCCAAGATTCTTTCAAGGGTTGCCCGTGTTCCCCCAGTATAAAGTAGGTCCAATCGTATATCGCTAAGGGACCTATCAGGGCATCTCTCTTTAACCGTTCTTGCTTGCGCTTCAAGAAACTTTTGTGCGGCCGCTGGTGATGAATCCAGTGCAGCCGACATTCTATTGTTGACAGAGTAGGGAAGGGGGGGGACGAGATAGCGGTAGTCGGGTCGATGCTGCTATGAAGGCGCTAAGTCAGCAGTTTCCTAACAAAGGTAAGTCCGTTATCACCTGACCGTGTTCAGGAGGACGCGTTGGCGCGTCCGACTACCTGTAACCCCACTTGGCGAATATATCGTACTGGTATTGCGTCATGAGAATCACTCGAGTCTGATTCGCCAAGCTCGCAGAATGCCTGTACTCGAGTAGGGCCGCACCCCATTCTCTGGGGGAAGCTACTTCTCCTATCAGATTCCGGAAAATAGCCAATCAAAATAAAGCGCAGATACCAGCTTCTCCAGGCCCAACTCCCCTCCTCCGGTAAACGCTTTGAAACACTTCGAGGAGAGGATGTATCCATTGTGCCATGCAAATTGTGGGACAAGAGGTTAAGAGAGGATGGCGACATTAATGGGTCTATCACCCTAGGTCAGGTCACATATTTTGACCTCATCCGCTGGTTTGCGTGGGCATTGGGGCACCAGCACGCGCAAGCAATCGCATTATGATGATACGATACCGCTATGATACTATCATTCACCCCTCCATCCTTCTCCCACCCAAACCTTCCAATCATACTCCCTACCGCTCCGCCCATCTGCTATTCGCTCTCTTTATCAGCCTCCGAATATCCCAATAAACCACAGCCCAGGTATTATTCTTCCATTCTATCCCCTCCTCCCTATTCTTTGTCATACATTTCCTCCCCATGGATGTCCCGGGCCTCATAGGGGCACGTCACGATCCGTACGCCCTCTACCCTCAAAATCGGGATTGGACTATATATGGACGCGATAATCGCGACATATATGCTTTGCACCGTTCGGTACCCATCCCTAGCTTTATCAAGCTCCGTTTTCCTAGCCTCCTGTTTAAAGTTGATGGGGAGGGATATCGATTGAATGGTCCCGGGGGCTTCGTAACCGCTGAGGTTTCGCCCAAAGAAAAGGATTTGTATGGTGAGATCCTGAATGTCCTGGATGAATTAGAAACCCCTCTTGAGACTCTCTGGCAATTTGCGCATCTCCCATGGGTATCTAGTATCCTGGAGGTGCTGCCGACTGGTCCAAAAGCTATGGAATACAAGATAAACTGCCTCCGAAGCCATTCATTCGAGAATAGTCTGCTCTCCTACAGCGCTCTCCGCAATTCGTGGGGGGTCCCGGACCCGAGTCCTTTGATCATTCCCTCTGAGAGGCTCCGGTGCTTGGCCTATCTGAACGAGTCGGTAGCTATTGTGTATCTTGACAACGAGGCGGGGCCCTACATTTTCAAGACAAACGCGGACCCTCAGCTGCTCTATCAGGAGATAGAAATGATAGTGAGACTGGACCCCCATCCAAATATCATACGCAAGCGAATGCTGGTCAGCAAAAACACAATGATCTCTGGCATGCACAAGTTTGATTCGGCTTCGAAATATTTCGAACAGGAAAACATGCCAATCGTCGGCTTTCTTGTTGAATACTACCCAGGGGGAACGCTCATGCCCACCCTCGCTAGGGGAGGAGTGACACTTAGTGACAAGGCAAAGTGGTGCTCAAGCTTGGTGTCTGCCATGACCCACATTCGTCGCACCAAGCAGAAGGATGGGCGTTGGGGTTTTTATGCAGATCTAAAGCCAGACAACATAGTTTTTGCAAAAAACAGGAACCTCATTCTCATTGACTTCGAAACTGGTGGCTCTTGGGCTCAGTACACCCCCCCAGAGGTTCTCTCCTGGCGCCAGGAGGCGATATACGCAGAGCCCACCGAGTCGAGGCTTGTATTTATTCATGGGCCGAGCCCCGGAGAGACCTGCATGATATGTTCCCCTCACCCATGCTCCTTCAGCTCCAGATGCGGAGGGCTTAAAGTATTTGAAGCTCACATGGATATATTCGAGTATAAGAGATCTATAACCAACATACTCGCGCGGAAAAACTCTGACAGTGTCGCCCTCAACCGGAAGCCGATCCCATTTTGGGACTCCGCGTCGGACAAAGAGAGAGAGCAAGCGATGGTCTACATGATGGGTTGTATATTCTGGTGCATCATTGAGGGGAGGTGCATGAGTGAATGCAAAGATAGAAGAGTCACCATAAGCTCTACGGACATACCATTCCAGATAAAGAGGACTGTGGAATCATGCTTTCTGCTGCCAGGACAGAGGCCGAGCTTGGAAGACTTGGGACAGGTATTTCAGGCTTGGGAAGTAGCTGTGCTCCCTGCAGAACCCGCGGCTTCTGAAGGCTCCCTATACCCGGAATGGGACCAAGAAGAAGAAGAAGGGTTCATTATGGCGTGAGAAGTTCCGAATTATTGAGTCGGAAGCAAAAACCTACAGCTAGGGGAGGGGCGGGAATTCAAACTACGGATGGGGTTGTGTGCGATTTGCCACATTGTTGGGAGATTATTTGGGAGTTGCATAAGGTTTGTTTGGAATTTGCCGGTTCCTTGTGTGTTGGGTGGTTGGTGATTGTATTGAAGGTTTGGGACTGACTAATGTATCGGGAGCCCTTGTTTGTTGAATTTCTTGTGACGGTATCTGCTGTTCTCTACTGCACTTGCTCCGTTTGCACTGTCTTTGCACTATCTTTGCACTGCCAGTCTTGTGTAGGACAAGCGGTTTGCTCCGGCCGACTCGGCGTTTTACCTGAACCATTCAACTCTAGAGTGCTGTGGAACCGATAGAACAAAAACACCGATTAAAGCTTATTAAATTGCGGGCACGGTACAAGTACAGTGCTGGGCAAAAAAAAAAAAAAAAAACAACCAATAAATCTTGTGATAGCACTCAGTACCCTTACCCCGCCGACACCGCAACGACCACACCCTGACACCCTCCCCAACAGTCACAGACAGTCACTCGCACCCATGATGACCCATCCAAACTCGTCCTATCACCCTTTCGCGCTGGTAAAAGGGGGGGGGGGGGAAGTCCAAGAACCCAATCTCTCCACCTCCTGCCAGTGCATTTCCTGACTTTTTTTCTTTCCCTTCCCTCATATATACCTGAACCGCGCCCCAATCTCTGAACCCTGTAGAAAATATCATACTGCTCCAGAACATTCATTCTGGTCACGGCGATTTACTGGATCCAGTTCAGCTGAGGAAAAATAAGAGGCAATAAAGGATAAATATGATTTGATTTGCGTGTCGGCCCATAGGACGGTGTATCACGGGGGGTGTTGGAGGGAAACATGTGCTGGCCCCGCCCCATCACACCGGGTTCAGGAAGACTCTAAATAAGTTACGGTGGCCTGCCTAGACTAAGCTGAGCCAAACGTCGAGTCAACGCCCCTATCATACAAGTAACAACCTCCTCTGGGCTCTGCCTGCCAGGCCATTCATTACTCCCCCCAGAAATCGCAACGAAACACTGTCTTGACCCATCTCATGGGTTCGCTTGGCGGACTGACAGACCGACAAATAGGTTTTACTTCGCACATTCGTTCCCATTAAGATCTCCACCGCGTCAGGAAAATACAGGGCTCGTGGTTCCATGAATACATGTATAAATGTGGAGTGATTTTCTCTCACTCTCCATCCCCTGTGAAAGGCTTAAAAAAAAAAAAAAAAAAAAAGACACAAAAGACACTCCCCACTGGCCAACCGACTGACTCGTCCCGCGATTTCGTAACTTTTTGCTAGTGTCAAAAAAAAAGGCTTTCTCCATCATTTCCATGCCATGAATCCATGAAACCCGTACAACAAAAAGAAAGAAAATAAGGTATACGATGTGAACCCGGACAAACGAAATCGTGAATTGAACAAAGGGCGATGAGTAAAAGAAGAAAAGGGAGGGAAGAGGGGGGGGAAGAGGGAGAGGAAAAAGCCACTGAGAAGACAAGAATGGAGATTTAGAGAAAAGGGCAGATGATTTGTGAAAGGAAATGTTGTGGGTGATGTGGGAAAAAAAGGGAGGAAGAGGGGGGAAGAAAGAAGGGAAAGGACCAACTCTACCCACAACTATAGAATGGTACACTTCTTTCTCTTGGGTTTTCCTCCCTTCCCTTTGGGTCCCCCGACCGCCATGTCCATCGCCAGGTCGAAGACCTCGTGTACGCCCGTCATCTCTTTACTGCTGCACTCGGCATACCTGGCTCCCATGCGCCTCGAGACATCCTCTCCCTGTTGCGGTGTGACAGGAGTCATACCGTGCGTCTTCAATAGCTCTATTACATTCCGATTCTTGCGAAGGTCTGTTTTCAGTCCGACGAGGATGAGAGGTGTCGACGGACAGAAGTGAAGGACCTCCGGATACCACTATCCGTCCAGCATTGATTAGCCAGTTATCCTAGCCAATTGAAACGGAGAAGCCAACGTACCTTGTCGAGAACATTCTCGAGTGAATGCGGAGAGTCAATGGCAAAGCAGACAAACAGGACATCCGTCTCCGGATACGATAGCGGGCGCAGACGATCATATTCCTCCTGACCAGCTGTATCCCATAACGCCAACTCAACAGTCTTCCCACTGCCCTCGTGAAACTTGTGTGTAATATAATTCTCAAACACCGTAGGAACATATTTCTATTTCGCCATGCGCATCCATCGCCACCATTAGCACAATGGAAGGCGGGGGGGAGTCATTCCAAGGGGAAACGGCGTCGGACAAACCTCAGGGAAGTAGCCTTGCGAGTAAGATATTAACAGACATGTCTTGCCGCAGCCACCATCGCCAACAACGACCAACTTCTTGGAATACGCAGGGCTTACGCCGGGGGTGGTGATGCCCGTCGAACGGGATTTTACCGATTTCGCTGTAGAGGGATCCGACATCATGCTGGCAGGAGTTCCGCTTTATTTTTCGAACAAAATTCCCGGAAAATAAAAGGTTAGCAATTGCAAAGGCAATTCGGTGAACCGGGTATATGTGTGTGTGTGTTTGTGTTTGTATGGAGGGGTGGTGGTGGTGGTGGTGGTGGTGATGATAGTGGGAATAGAAGGGAAGGAAATGTAGTTTGTTGCTTGTGGTGGTACTTACATTCTGGAATGCGCGTTCGCCCAACTGGAAGCACTCATTGTTTCCTCCGGGAGGGGGGTAGGTTATAAACGCTATAAGGGTAGGTTACTTGTGTGTCGTGAGCACACAGAGAAATGCAACTCCTGAGCTTCGTTTGATGTTGGCACCGAAGGGGGATTTTTGTAAATAGGTGAATAAATAAAAAGAAAAGCGGGTGTGAAATGGATGATGGTGGAGGGTATTTAAATAAAGTACAGTCCGTGTTTTCTCTCTCTTTCGTTCTGTCCTGTTATGGTGATACTCTGCTTGGAGGGTGAGATATTGTAGCGGCGGTACTCGGGAGTAAGAAAGGTGGCCCGTAGGGAAGTTGGGGTCTGGGAAATTATATGGGGATCAAGAAAGGGTTGGGGAGGAGAGTTGAGGAGTTTATTCATGGAGCAAGCAGGGTTTATCCGGTCAAACCAACAACAAAACAACCACGGTAATCTCTGTTGCCCCAACAACGGTTCATGCCAGAAAGAGCCGCCCACATCCTAAATAGGGAAAGGAGGGCCAAGCAAAGCCAAAAATCCGAACCAAAGATCTTCCTCCATGATATGCCTCTGCAGACTGCAGTCTGACAACCCATTGGGACCCCCCCCCCCCAACGTACTCAATAAGCCCTTCAAACCCTGTTCACAGCTTCTCTCTCTTTCGCGGGTGATCTACCGGTATACGAGCTACCTCCTCCCTTTCCCTCCTTCCTTTCCTTCCCCCCTCTCCCTTTCTCACACCATACCAAGTTAACAGGAACGACATCCGCATTGAAGACCGCCCCACCTGCCTTCAGCTGAAGAGGGAGAGGGAGGGACGGAAAAAAAGAGGCAAAATTATTTAAAGAATAGCCCCTCCCCCTGGTCATCCCGAAACAAGGCACCTACATTCGTCATTTCACGATGTCATACTACGATATCGATGCTATTCTCACCGATGCACAGGTATGCCATCCTTTGATTCCCGGTTGTGATAAGCCCTCTGTTGTCATGGGCACACAAACAGAAAGAGGAGCAGTCTTAGCTGACAACCCCAGAAAGTCCCGTGTACCTTCGAAATCACAATCCCAGGCCTGGGCTATTTGGAAGGCAATTCAAATACTGATGTACATAGACCCCGCCTTCTCTTCCACTTCCCCTCACTTCCGCCTATTTCCCCCAAACAGAAGTGAAAAGTAAAACAGGAGGAAATGACTGATTGACGGAGCAGATCAAGCAAGGAACTAGAGTCGAGCTCCCCCTTTGGCTCGCGGAAATGCTCGGTGTAAGTCAACGCCTAGGTACAGAACAGAACGTCATAACACTAGACCTTCCACCGGCTTTAGCCCCCAGAGTTCAGAACGCTCTCAAGGCGAATCCTTGCACGGTTGACTTGAGATCTCTAGCGTCGCATTACTACTCCCTTGGGGAGCGAATATTGGGATTGCTGGAGGAGGACGAGCTGGTCGATATACTCTCCGAGGTAGTCAATTCACAGGAGGAGGGGCGGGACGGGATGGGATGGGATAGTACTGATGATAAATAGACATTCAAAAAGCGAGCGGCAGGAATAGCTGACCATGCGCACAACCCGCAAGGAGTCATCAGCAGCGGCGGCGAGTTCTTGAAAGGCCTTGATGAGAACGAACGACAACGTGCCCTTCCCCCCATCCACCCATCTATCCATCCGATCCACCAGCTAACTCCAAAATAATCAGTCTTCAAAACCGCCCACGAATCCGCAAAAGCAATCCGCGCCTTCCTCTCAGACCGTAGTAGTAGTAAAAAATAAACTAGAATGAAATAAAAACAAGAGAAAGAGAGCAGCAAACCAAGACTCCCCGGCCCATTCATTTGTTTACTCGCATCACATATCCACTCGTAAAGTCCTCCATGGCTTCACCCACCCATACATGTATCCTCCGCCTCCCCCACATCTTCAGTCTTGGCCTCATCCGGGTTCCTCCCCATGACACCCTCGAACTGTGACCATAGCGCCTCGACACTCTCGAACTCCCTGCCAACCTATGCATCCCCGGACAGAACGTTAGCCCACCAACCCACAGAGCGCGAGCGCCATAGACCGTGAGAAGGTCGAACGGACAAGCCAAGCAAAATCAACATCCACCAAGAGATTATTGTTATTATTATTATTATTATTATTTATTTTTGCACAGCTTATTCGTCGCATCCTCACACTCGCTCGGCCCACTCAATGCTCAAAAGATGAAGGGAAGGGGAGAAGGGAAGGGGGGGGGGTAGAAGATACAGCAACGACTCCTTCAAGACTTCTATTGAGTAGGTTCATGTTCATGAGGACGTGTTCGAGCGAGAGTGCGATCTCACTGATCAGTTGGTCGCGTTGCTCTACTCAGGTTAGTACAGTACACTGCAGCACGGTAGTCTATGTATCTTAAAGGGACGGAATGGATGGATAGCGTACGTACGTTCGAAGAAAGACTTTTCGCCCGACATGATTGATTCTTTTTTATTTCTTGTTGGTTGTGGATTGTGATTCCGCAGTTGATATAGACTACCGTAATGGGATGGATGGATGGATGGATGGATGGATGGATGGATGGATGTAAATTATTGATGGATGGATAGATGGATGGATGGATTGCCTGGAAAGGTTGTGGGCGGTAGGAATTATCCTGGTGGAAGATTCAATCACGGATGAAGCATGCAATCATAGATATTATCATATCACACTTCATGATACGGACCCGTTCTCAGATACATTATGAGGGTAAAAGTTAAATTCCACGCACGTCTCCGAAACCCCGACAAATCCAACACCGGCCACCAGTGACGACAAACAAAACGAGATGAGACAAAAAAGTAAAGAGAAATAAGAAAAGAAAGAAAAAAAAGGCATAGAGATACACATACAGATATATGAAACAAATGGCTACGGTAGAGGGATAGATATATAGGTATCGATATATAGCCATTTGGTGAGAGAATAGGTAAAAAGTAAAGGGTAAAAAAAAATCTTGGGTGAATATATAAAACAAAGAAATGTTAAAAGTTAAGATTTAATAATTGGAAAAAAGAAAAAAAGAAAAAAAAAAAAGAGTATTCTCTCACCCTTACTTCCTTTACCTTTGCGGGTACCGGAGAAGAAAGGGTAGTAGAAGTAAATAATGTTATGAAAATAAAAATATAATGGAAAAAAAAAACGCAAATACCTACAAGGTATGAACGTCCATCCATCCCATCCATCCATCCATCCATCCATCCATCCAGAATAGTGTTGAAAAGAAAAAGAGAAAAAAAAACAAGGCTTTTTATATAGTAAAAAAAAAAAAAAAAAAGAAACAGCAGAAAGAAGTGGTATTTCATGCGTCAAATGGGAAGAGCAAACACAAATGAAGAGCAAGTCATCAAAGTCAAAAATCACTTTCATCCACCCATAAACCCAGAGTTATAACAAGAAATTGACAAGAATGTCAGAGAGATAGGGCTAAAGAAAAAGAAAAAAAGTAGGAAGAGCGGGGTATAAAGGCAGGAAAAGTAAGAAACGAAAAAGAAAAAAGAAAGAAAAAAAGTGAATATCTTGGCTAACAGAGTACGAGGGAAGGTGAAGGTCTCATGAGTGAGAAATTTTTGTAACCAGTTTCACAAGAAATGACAATACAAGAAGAGCCTCTGAGAGAAAAAAGAGATACAAGGAGATAAAAACTAAAAGCAAGCGAACGATCGCTTGTTCTTCTTCGCTATATCACGCATCCTAACTTCCAACTGCTCCCGAGCCAGCTCGGCCTTCTTCCGCGCGAGCCGCTCCTCTTCAACGGCCTGCATGGAGTACCTGCTCGTTTGAGATTCATTCCGGGCTCGTTCAAGCTCCTGCTGGACTTGGGAGGCCTTGGCCTGAAAACTGTCGCGGTCCGATCTCAGTGACTTCATCTTGTTCTCGCAATCGGTAAGTGCTTCCTCGAGCGTCACTGTTAGTGCCTTCTCCGCCTGAAGCTGCTTCTCAAGCGTTTTGATCCGTGCCTCTTGGTCCTCCATATGGGCAACGACATAGTCTTTGCTGGGACGTCTGGACATGCTTGGTGTCGGTGGGGGCTGAGCCGAGCCAGCAACGGGCGAAGCAGCATTACCTGGCAGGGGAGGAAGGGGAATTGCGGGAGGCGGTGATGGTAGTGATGTTGTCGAAGTGCTCTTTCGGAGATTGCCGTTAGAAGAAGTCGAATTGGATCGTTGAGCACGTGCTCCACCCAATCCCTGGAGCTCCATTTGAACTTCTGCGAGTTTGGTCTAATATCGCGGTTAGTCAACCTATGATTCAATGTTCCCGGACCGAGCTGGCTCACCTGAAGACTTGCAACCTCATCGGTCAAGCCCTCAACAAGCTGTTGAGACTCTGCATTCTTTGCCGTAGATTCCGCAACCAAAGCCTTCTTTTCCTGCTGGAGACGCTCATATTCGGCGGTGATATCAGCCAACTTTGTTGCGTTCTCCTGGTTCTGGTCGAAGGTGAATGTAAGCTGCTGTTCAAGATCCTCAAGCAACTTGGCGTGCTTAGCCTCCTTCTTGGACAACTTCTCAATCTCCTTATCAGTCTGCTTGTGAAGCTCCTGAAGCTCTGAGATTGTGGCGAGATGCTTCTTAATTGTAGCCTTGCTCCCTTCGACTTCAGTTTCAAGTGCCGTGGTGGCGGCAGCATGTCGGGCAGCCTCCTCCTGTGCCTTTGACTTATCGCCCTCAAGGGTTCCAATGAGTGACTTAGCCTCGGCATGGCTTATCTGGAGTCTGGTAAGGTTGGCAACATGTTCCAGAATAGCACTCTTGCTCTCCTCGAGTTTAGATCGAATGGTCTGAACAAGTTCCTCGTGCTTAGCATTAGTAGCGGCAATTTCCGCGGATGCACGTGCTTCTGCTTCTTTGAGCGCGAGAACGGCTGCCTCCTCCTTCCGCTGGAGAGCCTCGACTTGGCCAATGGCATCCTGGTAAGATGCCTCGAGCTCGGTAAGCCGGGCCTGTTGGCCCTCAATAACTTCTCTATTTTGAGCAATGGTTTGCTCAAGCTCTTGTGCCAACACCTGCTGTTTCCGGATCTCCTCAAGGACAGATTCAGAGGCGTCTGAAGACTGAGAGAGCTGGCTGTCAATCTGTTCACGAGTGGCCGCATGGGTTTTCTCAAGTTCGGCAACTCGTGCGAGCTGAGAGTCAATGGTAGCCCTGTTCTCGGTGACAATCATTTGAAGCATCTTAACATGTTCTTGGTGTTGAATCTTCTCCTCCTCGACTGCTACCTTGAGTGTCCTTTCGGACTCGACAACCTCCTTACTTTTGGCCAACTCATCCTCAAGGTCCTGGACGACAGTAGCAAGAGCTTTCTTAGAGCAATTGATCGTCTCGAGAGCCGTGTCATGGTTTTGCCGTGTATCCACAATTTCTCTCTGGAGATCGGATATCCGCTGTGACTTCTCAGCATTCAAGGTCCTCTCTCTGGTTAACTCAATGAGGAGCTCCTCCACATCACTAGCCGATTCTCCTGATTGTGCCGACAGTTCGCGATGGGCAATGGCTAAGTCGCTCTCACGGATTGCGAGTAGTTCTCGCGTGCTAATGAGCTCGGCCTGTGACTCCTCAATGCGCCGTTCCATGACTGCGACGACCGAGATGTCCATTGGCGAAGTAGATATGCTAGATCGTTCTCTGGCCAACCCGTTTATGATAGCAGACTTTGTGTCCATATCCTTCCTCAACGATGTAATCTCGGTCTCCAATTCCGAAATACGGTCCGAACGGGCTGTGAGCTCCTTGACGGCGGTATCAATATTGAGTTCAAAGTTCTCCAAGATCTCCGGATCATCCTTGAAATTCTCAACTGCAATTCTATGGAGATTGTCAAAAGATCGGCGAGCACGGTCCAGAACAGCCAAACTCTGACTAGATTTTCGTCGAAGAATATGGGTACCAGATGGCGAGATGACACCGGAAACTCTCTCTCTGTGGCGGAGCTCAGAAAGCTGATCAAGGGATTGCTTCAACTGCAAGTGAAGGAGATCGTGCTCCTCCTCCTGTGTCTTGAGGGCCTCCTCCATCCGAATCTTGACACTCTCCAGCTCCATCGCTAATGCCTCCTCCCTCTCTTGACTAATCTTCCTTTGCGACGCCAACTCTTCCTTAATGCGCTGCGCTTCGCTGTCGATACTCACTGGGGAGATAGGCGAATCCCCAACCAAGGATAATTCCGAAGATAGCGAAAGCGAGGATGAATCTTGCTCCTCGGCCCTTAAATCGCTCACCCTCGCGTCTACTAAAAAAGAGGTGGGTCGTAAGTTTGGCGATGGTGGAGGTGAGGTGCCCTGTGAAGGAGTAGCCTGATGCCGGGCCTCGTCGAGACGATCCTGGAGAGCGGCGAGATCACGGAGCGCTGCCTCGTAGTTGGCAGACATCTGGTCATACTCATTGATAGTTGCTTCGTGTTCGACTTTGAGATCGATAAGCTCTTGTTGTACGGACTCCAACTTATCGGCAACAAATTGTGACTGGGCCGGGCTCTGGGGAGGGTACTCGATCTGGGGTGAGTTTTCAAGTGTGATCGAAGGAATCACCTTTCCTGATGTAGGCCGTGAGGTGCGATCGCCAGTGCCGGGAGTAGCTGACCCGGACATTCCATTGCCCCGTGCTTGTAGCTTTCCCTCGCCGGGGTCCACAAAATCATCACCATTAACCGATTCAGGAACCTCAACAAGAGTATCATCACTGTGAGGTCTTGCGCGGCCATTCCTCACTTTCTCGGGTACCTCTGCAGCCTTATCCACCGGTTTCTCTTCCTTTTGTGAATTCATCGAATCGAGCTCATATAGGAGGTTATCGAGTTTTCCCAGGCTGCGCTGACGGTCCACAACATGTTCAAGCCTGTCAATCTCCCTCTGCATAAGCTCCATATCCTGATCCGCCTCTGCCAATCGCTCTTCCAAGGTCGAAATATAATCCTCACAACCTGCCTCATTCTCTCGTATCCGTGCAATCTCTTTTCGTAATTCGGCAATGATGGCGGCATTTTTCTCTTCCCCAGATGTATGGCTATCCAACTTGGTCTCTAAATCGTGAAGGTAATTCTCAGTGCTTGACTCGCGATCCATCAGCTTCTGAACACGTGCATGGAGTTGCTGGTTAACGGTCTCAATGTATGCAAGTTTGGTCTCCTTCTCCAGAAGACAACTCTCGTTGGCTGACAATAAGCCCCGAGTGCTGGACAATGAAGTTTCAAGACTCTGAATTGTTTTTTCATATTCTGAAAAGTTAGCACATTGCCAATAGAGAAATGTATACTACTCACCTAAAACAACTTGTTCTACAGCGACTGAGAGCGAATTTGACCGTGCAAGCCTATCCTCCGCAGTATCTGCGTAATCATTGGTCTGCGCGGAAAGTTCTTGTGTGTCCCGGACCTTGGTGATCTCCGATATAAGTTTCGCATGACGCTGACTCAAGGCACCATAATTTTCCTGGAGGTCCAAGAGCTGGTTCTGGAGCTCCATCTCTCTCTCCTTATCTCCTGATCGCTCTGAACGGGATTGGCCCCCGCTGCTAGCCCCACTGCTAGATTCCGAATGATTCTTCAGTTGGTCCCTCAGAAAAGCAATTTCGGCCCTGAGACGTTCTACAAGGGCTTTCATGTCACCGTCATCCGAAACCTGCTGTATCCTGGGTTTGCTTTGGATAGCACGGGCACGTTGAGCATACTGGGGGGTAAATATTAGCAAGGGTGCACGCAGGATATCATCATGCGAGAACGACATACCTGGACAGTGTTTAATGTTTCACTTAAATGGAATTCGGCTGGAGTAACACAGGCGATCATATAGGTAATCGCGTTGCCGCCCAAGGAGTCCTGGAGGAGACGGGTAAGTTTGGAATCGCGATAGGAGACATGCGATCCGGCCTGGCGTGTCGAAAGCTGTGAAATAACTTTCCCCAGACTCGCCAAACCTGCATTAATCGATATCCCTTCCTTTGCCCGATCGCCTTGGGCCAGAGTATTCTATCGCACAGTGACTGTTAACAAGCCTCCTCCCAAGTGTGAGCGGTGCGCGCAAGCTTACCTTTAACCGTTCACTACCAGCTAAATCGACGAAGTGCATTTTACTGTCAACCGTCACATACCCCTCCTGTCCAAGAATCTCCGTGGGCATCGAAAACCGCTTCTCATCCTTACTTGCAGGCCCCTTGGGCTTTCGTTGCACAAGGTTCAAGCTAAAAACCGCATGTGAACGAGAGGATTTCGCGTTAATAGCTGTTGCATCTGTCTGCCGAATGGAAGACCCAAAGTTCAACGCTTCAAGCAAATCGTCAACCGTATTCACAGTGACCTGATTCAGCCCAGTCAAGAGGATTCTTCCCTTTGTATCTTCCCGAATGGTGATTGGGACCCGCTCTTCAGGTCTCGTGCCCTCAGGCAACAGTAAATCCCTTAATTGTTCGTTATATATCTATATATTACGATATCAGCACGTGTTTTGGGACAGACATGCCGTTTTCGCGCAACACACCTCGACGTAACTAGCTTTCATAGTCCAGCCCTTATCCGCAGTTGGCTTTACCAATTGCGATATAGGAGTGGAATATCTCGCTGGCGCTCTTAGGCCGGAAGTAGAACTTCGAGGGTTTGGAGCGCCGCTTCCAAGCCTCTCGAAAAGAGCCGCAGCAGCCCTTGGAATTACCCCTGAAACACCTTGTCAGACAACCCCCCACTCCAGAAAAAAGGGACTAGTTCCAAGAGAAAGGAGAGAAAAAGTAAATAAAATAAAATAAAATAAGAGATGGAAAAAAAAGAGTCGCGCAACAGAAAAGAACATACCCATAACTTTAATGTTGCTTTGCTCATCAGGACCTGAAGTCCCCATAGTGTATGACTTTCCAGCCCCTGACTGACCATAGGCCAGCAGCGAAACGTTGTAACCCTGAACAAACGCGTTCACGCTCTCCTCCAAGTAGTCCCAAACACCATTTTGGTCTACTTCCTGCCCGAATACCCTGTCAAACACGAATATCTTTCTTCCCTGAGGACTATCCACAGCGAGGCTTGTCGGGCTCGTAACATGTACCATTCCCCTCTGGAACCGTTGCGGTATCAAATCGAAGCCGGGATCAGTTGAGCGGAGCGGCGGTCGCACGCGGACAGCTGTATAAAGCCGTTAGCACTTGATGCGAAGCCAATAATCGCGTCATAAAAGCTCCCCGGGCACGGGATAAGGCTGACACCGTCCAATGTCTGTGATAGCTCCCAATCGAAGATGGATCATGTAACAAAGATAACAGGATTGACGAGGAAGAAGCCTGCCGAACTCACCAACTTTAACAGAAGTTCTCGCGTCCTCATCAGATGCTCTGCTTCCCCCGGCCTTACTGCTCATGCTCAGGCGACTCGAGCTTCGAGCCGGTCGTATCACAGCGCTCATGGGTCGAGAACCATTGAAGGAAGGGGAAGCGGGAGACGTCGGAGTCCCCACCATCTTCTGCGCCTAGAAGGTGAAAGATCGAAAGAAGAAGAAAAAAAGATGGTGAAGAAATCCAATCGTCGCAATGCGTGAAGAGGAATATTTGGCGATAAATGAAAGCGTGTAGTCGAGTGATCTACCGACCCTCTTTTTTTTTTTTATTCCCTTGTCTTATTTCTCTCCTCTCCTCGTGTGGAAGGGGGCGATGGACTGTCAAAAGAGGGCTATCTCGGACAATTATTGACTTTTGACTTTCCGAGGGGATGATGATACTAAAGAAGGTTGTCAGGCCAGCATAGAAAGATTTCCTACGTTCACCGCCGCAGGTTCGCTGGATGCTGCAGTGATAGCTGGTGGTAGCAGCTGGCGGGAAAGAGAGCGAGAGGGAGCAAGGTACCGACACCGGATAGTTCGCGGTAAGGTTGGTGATTGTATGAAATGGGGAGAGAAGAGAAGGGAAAAGAAAAAAAAAAGAAAGAAGAATAAAAAGTAAAAATGGCAGTAGGCGAGCAGCAAGAGAGTTGGGAAAAAGAGAGAAAGGGAGGGCAGCTGGAGAAGGGTTCCAGGCGGTATGATGGCAGGGGGAAGGGAGAGAGAGTTCTGGCTTCGACAGTCGACACCGAAGGCTTCAGGAAAACGAGGGATGTGCTAGGTGAGACCCTGGAAACAAAAGGTTTGAGGAGAAAGCTGCAGCCCGTGCCCGTGGAGGGGGAGAGAGACTCCAAGCAGTATGATATGATACGGTGGAAGGGCGAGGAAAGGAGGTTCTGGGTTTACCTTAGCTAGAAGTGCTTAAAGATCTGGCTGGCCCCGCGCATTCCCTTTCCCCAACCTCACTTCAGCTTCACAGATGCACCACCCGCTTCACAGAGGAGAATAGAGTTTGCGGCTGCCCAAGGTCACAGGATACTATAGTGAGAGTACGGTATTGCGCACTATCAAAATCCAATTCCATACAAATGTCATCACAAGCCCTATCCCAACTTCTCCCTTTCGGGACCAATCGAGCCCTGGGCCTACTGTGCGATGGTGGAAGGGGGGCGAAGGAGCAAACGAGGGGGAGAGAGAAAGAGCAAGGGGGTACGAGTACGATTCGACAGTCCAGGATACCCTACACAGCAACCATTGGAAGCGTTTGTGCAGGGCGCCTGAAGGTACAGTACGAGTACTCGAGCATGTAAGAGTGTGTAGTGTACGATATGTGTGTACCAACGTGTATGTGGGTAGGCGTGCGAGTGAGTAGGGGAGTGCAAAAAAAAAAATTTCATCTCCTCCAGTGACCATCCAAGTCAAACACAGAATCCCACACAAACGAGCAGCCTGCCCGGCAAGAAACCTTTCCCGCAATGATAATAGTGTACGAGTAAAAGAAAATGCTTTTGAAAAAAAAAAATGTGAAAAAAAAAAAGGAACCAACCACGGACTACTGTACGGAAGACGCCTACCATTCCTGGACAGCGTGACGGACACCCAGAAGGGGGAGACCCGACAAGGGGGAATGGGGAACCAACGTGTGACAAAAAGGTGAGAGGGAGAGAGGGGAGGGGGGAAAAGAAGAAAAAGAAAAAAAGAAGAGAGAGAGAGGGAAGAAGAGAACCTGGAAAAAGAAAAAAGGAAATGAAAGAAATGGCGGGACAAGCATTTCCTGACCTCTCCTTCTCTCTCCATCCCTTCCTCCCTTCCTTCACAGCCGTGTACTGTAGAAGAAAACAAATCTCAAGCAAAAATATGATATAATAACTCGGCCAACAGGACGAGATCCCATGTCTATGGATATGGTACGGTACTCGTACAAGTACTGAGTAGGGTTCAGTACCGGTGCTATTGTACCGTTACGAGTACAGTGAATTACGAGTGCTGCCTAGCCCAGGGTCCTGCCGCCGGCTCCGTCGCTTAGTAGTTTTTTTTTGCGGAGCAAACTCAAAATCCACAGCCTAAGTTAATTGCTACCGGTGAACCACCCTAGAGATGACTGCATGCATGGGGCTTCCTGTACTGTATCATATATTATCAGGAAAGGTTCCCTGAACCATTGCTTCCCTGCCGTGGACCCCATACAAGCACGATGGGTTGAAACCACCGGAACCAGAAGCTTTCGGATGAGCTCTAGTAAAACGCAGGAACCGGAAGCTTCACAACAATAACAGCAACGAACCAAAAAAAAAAAAAAGGGGGGGGGGGAGGGGTGCTGTGAGGCAGAAAGCTAGGAAGGAGGGCGGTCTTGGTTAGCGCAAAAGTGAGCCGTCAATGGTCCAAAAGGAAAAGAAAAAAAATGGAGAAAACATCGCCAGCCAATCCCGACCAGTCCGAACCACTCAGCAATTGGTGGACCACCGGTCATGAAGTCAGATCCAGCGAGAATCCAACGACGGTAAGAACTAGGCCGTACCCGGTCTAGCCATCGCCCGATCACCCGCACTCGGTTATCATTCATCCTGCCCCTCGCACCGCACTGGGCAGGAAAACAGAACGAGCGACAAGGGAGTGAGAAAGGGGGGAAGGAAGAAAAAAGGGGGTGGTGGTGGTGGTGGTGGGGGTGCTAGTGGACCTGTAGCCAAAGCAGGAAAAGTGCCGTTCGCCTGAGATCATCCTTCTTACTGAGCACTATAGCATATATCAACTCCCGCCCGAGGAAGAACGAATGTTCTTCACGATGCGGTGCATAAGGGCGCAGAGCACAGCACGGTAATTCTGGTATGATGGGAGGTACGAGTACTGTGGCACACCTATCGTACTATGGACTACGATGCGTGCGATACGGCACCGGTATGATACCCCACTGCGCAGCATCTCCCCCTCCTAATCTGTATCGCAGTCACATCCCTCGCGTGTAAGAGTACGAGCACTCGAGTACAATGATTCTACTTATGCTCTACCGTACCTTACCTGTAGCGTGGTGCTCTTGCATTGTCCTTCCTCGAGATTCTACATAAATTTACACCTCCTCCCTTCTCACCATGCTTCCTACATAGATACCGGTAACCCATATGTATACTCGAGTATGTACCAGCACTGTACAGGTACTGGTACGAGTTACTGTACTCGTGGTTGCTGTAGAGTACCGGTGCCGGCATTGCTTTGTCACTCCCGCCACTCTCGTACTACGACTCCTTAACCTTCCCCCCTCCCCTTACACGACTCTCTCCTTTCGCTATCCCACTACCCCACCCCTCACACGCACATCCGCTCTCTTATGATAGCGAGCTGCCCTGGTTTAAACCTGCAGTCAGCCGGGTTCTTCGAGCAACTACCGCCCCGCGGATCAAGGGGGCAGAGCCAATCAGATCAGGCTGACCCAACTGTAATACCTCCCCCTGACCGATAAACCCCACCTTCACGTGCAGATACCAAGGAATGCAAACCCAAACCTTGACATGATCATCTTGAGATTCTTACTACAGTAAAGTGACTGTACACCACACACGCAGACACGCTCAACGAAAACTACTATGCACCACGTAGCTGGGAAAGAAAAAGTGTATGATGAGACGATACGAGTATAATATAAAAGAGAAAAATAGACAGATAGTCGGGTGCACCCACAGTTGGGTGGGTGGATGGATGGATGGATAGAAGAGAGGAAAAAGAAATCGGAAGGGCTTTTTCGTCGACATGAAAGAAATAAAAAAAATGTAAAATATGAAAAAAAAGTGGGAGAAGGGTAAAGAGGAAAACTATGATGACCTTACAATACAAGAGTTTCAACGGGTTTACTACACACAGGCCGGTGACCATCGTAGACAGATGGATACAAGGATAGAACGAATGGGGCAGGGGCTTTGATGGCTGAAGAAACGAAAGCTCCGGATTCTGCCTGCACGCTGTGGTGGATGATAAGTGGGGGGAGGGAGAGAAATTTATAAGCTCGAGACGCAAATTACAAGTGGAAAAGGGTATATATGTAAAGATGAGAAGAGAAACACCTGTGAAGAAAGGAGAAAAGCCGGAAAGAAAAAGACAGCCACTACAAGACTACTCCGAACAACCCTCATCTGTCAAGCCCTGGACTGAACCATACAGCAAATCCCACCCACGAACCCGTGTCACTGGCAAGAAAAATGAAGAAAAAAATGCTCGAACAAAAAGAGAAGAAACAATGAAAAAGCGTAAGCCCCTTTAATTTATGCCACACCATGGGAGTCGCGGTCAACTTGTACACCACTACTCCTCGCATGCTCGTAAAAAAAGAAAAGAAAGAAAAAGAAAGAAACACATATCTATCCGGTTCCGAAAGCCGAAACTCTGGCCTGGGCACGATTGATGATACCTTCAGTGTTCTTGATGGGGCTTTCCTTTTGAACACCCTCGAGTGAGATATGGTGAGACACACCGTCATCGCTACCTAACCCAGTGTCGTCCGCCTCAGCAATTTTGGTGGGAACGTCGATATCCTGGTATTGTATTGATAGACGCTCGGGAGACTGTGTAGATGCCATCGACATGGCAGTCGAAGAGCGATGATGGACGAGGTCAGGAGTAGGGGGTATGGATGACAGTGCATCGTTGGGGCTGAGGAGGCTAGCATCGTCATGAATTTCTCGTTCATGGGTACCCGATGCTGTCTCCCCGCCTTCGTTCTCGTTTTCGTTCTCCTCCTCCTCCTCCTCCTCCCCATCCTCATCCTCATCCGAATTGGGGTGTTCGTGAGCTGCGACTTGAGCTAGGTGAAGGCCCTCAACGGCGGCAGCGCACTGTTCCGAGATGTTACGGATGATGTCCGCAATCGCATCAGTCTTGTCACGCAAATGACGATCCGCAACATCAGCGACGCTATTCTGAGAAAATCGTTTCATGGATAATGGACTATTGAAAAAACGCCTCTCCATGTCGGGATTCACATCCTCGACATCCAGTCCCCTAGCATCAACTGTACTTGCGCGGGATGCAGCCCTGGAGGACGCGCGAGAAGAGCGCCTGGAAGCTAATGGAGTGGGCCTTACTGTTGCCTGACCCCTATCAACATCATCCTCCGAGGGATAGCCTTCTTCGATATATCCTTGAACCTCCGGTGCATCGTTGAGCGAGCGTACAATATGCTCCATATGATGTGCCTGACCGTCGATAAGAGCACGGAGATGAATAACCACACGCTGAGCCTCGTCCCGCTGCCGAAGAATGGTCTCGTTGGTCTCCTGCAAGGCGGATAGATGTTTTTTGTTCCGCTTCCTCTCACGCTCTAACTCTTCCGCGATTTCCTGTTGCATGACCAATGCCTCGAGGGCGTCATCACGTTGCTTCTCGGTTCCGGCCAAGCGCATGGAAAGACTAGCGGAATCGGCCTTTTGTTGGTCGATGAGGTTCGCAAGCCTACGGTTCTCCTTCTTATGCATCTCAATCTTGGCCTTGAGCTCCTGAGCTTCCTTTGTAAGTTGTGCGGCGAACGCTTGGAATTTCTCAAACTATTATACGTCAGCAAAGCATACGAGGGGGGGGAAATATCAAGAATACATACTTGTTGCTTCCAGCTCTCAACTTCCTCCAGTAGGAAGTTGTTCCTCTTGGTGACCTTCTGGAGCTCGGTATCCATACGCCCCTTGAGATTGATGAAATCTTGCCATGCCTCCATGGCATCACGAGAATACTGGTTCCTCTCCCGGACAATCTCGTTAAGATGACGCATGGAAACCTTGGTCATCAGAGGCTTCTTTACAGATCCCCCGAAAATAGCCTTGAGACCGGTGTTGCATCCCATCTTCTCGCACACACGATCGAGGACAGACATAACACTATCCTGATCCCACCATTCTGGATCTTGAATGCTCTCCACCTCTCCACGCATCACGATAATTTGACCGGCGGGCACAAGCTTACCTCCTGCATATGCCGATCGAAGATGGGTTGGTACACCACTGATCGGAACCTCACCACGAAGGGCCTGTGTCAAGCGCGAGATAAGCTTATTGCGCTGCCCAACAGAAAGAGCTGTTGGTGGAGAGGATGTCATAACAAAATTTCTGTCCAAATCCACAACCAGGGCCTACATTCATCTTAGCACAATTCTAAACAATCAAAACAATATCGACACTTACATCACTTGGAGCTGTGAAAAGGCTTCGACATTCGGCAGTGAATCCTAAGATATATGGGCCGGGCTCGGTAACCAAGGCCTTTGCATGACGTGCATGAACGACCGGAACATATAGTCCACTCCACTCGTAAACCCGAACGCAAAAGCGAATGGTCTCCGCTGCGACAGTGAGCATGGCCGGGTAGTGGCTAACAAAAATCACACGGCGCGTTGGTGAAAGCGCAGCCCCAATTACACCAATGATATTAGGAATTGACAAACAGCTGAAAAGAGGCCACATTGAAAACTGTTGCATTTATTTAACTTTGACTTGACCCTTAAAAATGCGTGGAAAGGACCCTTACATTTTGAAATCCGGTTGGCGAAGAAGGGAATTGATAACAGAGAGCATAATCCTTCATATCAATCCGGACCAGATCGTTAAGGCGAGGAGCCGGAAAACTCAGGATTCGTGAAACCTCCCTGCATGTTGCCATCAGGATGTGGGCATACAATGAATCAGTTATAATGACAACTTACTCGGCATGGAACAGATTAGTAGCTTTGTTCCAGTGAATCCACATTCCCCGCAAATAGTCCCCGAGAAGATTGAACAATGGATATCTAGACAAGAAACTCAGAGCATAAGGAATCCAGTAGGTCTCGTCAGGAGTGTCGTAGTAGTCCGGTTCATTCCTCTTCCGGAGGTCGCGAATTGTCTCGGCACGCTTCTCGTCTGCCCTGGACCAAACCCGAAGCGCGATTCCGTAAAGCGTTTGGGATGAATCCTGTTGCAAAACAAACGTATGGTGCACACAGTGTGGTTGCGTCCGCCCCGTGCATATCTCCACATCATGAGGGAAGCAAGCCTGGCACAAAAATGTCAGCCAAAACATTTCGACACAACCTCTTGTTCACGCTTCTCCCGCAAAGCTTACCCGCATAGCCGCGTGAAGAGCGCGGGCAATATCATTATCCTGCTCCAATCGAGGACTGCTTCCCAGAATCTCGGGAAGCCAGAACTGGTTGACAGCACCCTTAATATGGGTGATCTTCCCTTGGGCTGGAGACGGAGCCTTAACCCACTGAGAGGGCTCTCGACCCACCCCACAAACAAGATAAGCATGCGTGAGGGTCTTTGGAGTCCTCTGTTGCATCTTCATGTTCAAGGTGGAGGGAATTGGTTGGGTGATGCGACTATGCAGAGACGAAGTCCTGCTAGGGATAGGTAGCGGATTATCATTCGCATCCCGGGTACCAGGACGGTCAGAAGTCCTTGGTCGATTGAAAGAAGGCTGGTTGCGGAGTGATTGAGGCATCGTTAAAACAAACGGCGAGGCTTGGAATACACAGGGGTCGAGGCAAAGAAACGTAGGAGAAGCCTAGCCGGAGGGGTCTGTCAAGAAAAGGGAGTATATGAGTATATGAAGATATCGCGGAACAAGCGACCAGAAGGAAGGGATAAAAAGGACAGTATGTTAGTTGGAGGGAGAAGGGTGGCCAAATGCCGGAAACGCTGAAGGTAAACGAGCGTCCCTGGTGGCCAGACACGAATGGGGGAGGAAGAATGGCAACGGGCAGTGAAGGAGAGACTGACGCGGGTGGAGGGGGAGAAGAGGAAGGGAAAGGAGAAGAGAAGGAGAAGGATTGCCGGGGGGGGTGGGTGCGTCCGAGAGGGTGTGAGTACGGGTGGAGGGGGTGCCGGACACCCTTGACCTTGAACCACCATGGGGGTCCCGCGCACACTGGTGCCGGTGCAGTCCTGGAGTAGGGTACCAGAGTACACCGCGAGTAGAGAAGCACTGGAGATGGCGCAGCGGAAGATTCCCGAGCAGGAGTAGTTAGAGCGCCGATACGATGGATTCAAGGCAGGTTGGTTATGATAGGTTACCGGCACTGCGATGTTACTGTAAAAGCACAATGATACCGTACCACTCGCACCAGCACACTGATTGAAGAACAGCCTCACCAGCTACAGTACTCGAGTGCAATATCTTGCTCTGCCTCCCACGCCGTGACATAGAAGGAGCCACGGAGAACGAGAGACGTTAACCGTATCTCCCTTCCTGTTCCTCATTTTCCTTCCCCAAGCCCCCTACAGCTGCCTTTTTCCCTCTTTCTTTCCTTTTTTCCCCTTGCATTCGCTTCCCCATGTTGAAAATTAGGGTGGACGGGCGGATGAATAGGACTGGGCTGTAGATGGATGGTGCCCGTCGCCACCCTGCCAAGAAGCGTTCTGCAGTCTGGAGACAGACGCATGGAGCGTGGATCCGAGAGTCACTCTTTGCCCTTCAAGGCAGGCCTGCAGTGAACCCACATGAGATGACCGCCCCCTGTCCATCCATGATCAATCCATCCACTCTCCATTCGGTCCAGCTCTGCAGCCTGCCTCCATCATACACTGTGATGCCCCCTTCCCCTCTGGTCCCTTTCAACGGTCCCACTCTAGTATCACTTGCAGCGCTTTTTTTCCACTTCCTTCGCTTTTTCCTCTATCGCATCATACCGATGTGTGCTCGAGTACTGTACTGGTACAGGTACCTGCACCCTTTCCTACAGTACCGGTCGATACCCAGATCCCCATCCTGCGAGATTCGGGGATTTCGCTTCTCGGCAACGAGGGAGTGCATCTGGCTACTGGCTGAACTCGAATTTGTTGGTAAAACCTTCCACCCCCCCTCCCCTTTTCCCTGTTTGAGAAGGTACTTGTACGAGTCCGGGTACTTGGCCATGAATGGCACTGTACCCAGCTCGAACCCGCCACACAGCATAAACACACGGTGCCCGACCAGACAGCTGGGCTACGGTAAGTCCCAAACCGGTGGCCCGCTCTTGTCATTACAAATTTTATCCGATCACAAATGGCGAAATCGTCTGTGGGCACAGTGTCTACACAATTTCCTATTACAGGTATGAATGATAAAGTGAAGGGGCAAAAGGGCATCCGAAACGGCTATTTTTGGCTCCATCCTGCGATAGTCATCCCCTTAAAAATTTGTGTTGGAGCACGATATCGCCGGGGGATAAAAAGGAAAAATAGGGAGATATGATACCCGTGAGGTGGAGTGAGGATTGATTGGCATCACCACCAGCCTGGAGAGCCCGGTATTCATACAAGCAAGAATGCAGCAGCCGTACTTGTACGGTACCGTACCTGCACTAGCACAGGTAACAGTACAGTACTAGTACTCATACTGATCCAACGGGTAGGCAAATCGTGGGAGCATGGGAAATATCATGAAACGATAGCCTCCCGATCGACACTCTCTTGCTCCATCACAGGCATACCGGTACTCTGCCCCACTTTGAACAGTGAACACTATAAGCCGAACCGGCTAGAGCTCCAAATGTCCATACCGTACCCGAGTAAACTACTCGTACAAGTACCGTGCTACCATACTAACGCCGTACTCTCCGAAAAACTTATTCGGGACTCGCTACCGCCATTGCAGCACACCGCCAAACGTCCGCCAACAACTGATGGGAATTGTCTGCTTTCCGCTCGTTTGTCAAAGGTTGCAACGGAGAAACATTTTGCCGTTTCCAAAACAGCCAAACCGCTTACATACCGTCATACAGTACAAGTACCGTACCGGGATTGGGCAAGCCGAGCCCATCGCTATGGTTTTATCAAGAATGCATGTGCCAACGTAAGCCGAGGAAAAAGGGAGCTGGGCGATCACACCTGTACCATTCGATTATCTTACTCTTTTGTTTTGTTTTTGTTAAAATCCTGAACTTTATTCGCAACTCCAAGGCTACAGTAAAAAATCATGGCAAACACCCTAAAGTATGGCCTGATTTGATCTTACTGTACTCGTACTCGAGCACTAGTACGGCACCTATACCGGTATCATGCCGGCATCATCCCTAACCCAACCCAACGAGTGCTTATCTACGAGTACTTCCTTCTGGCTCAAGCCAACAATCTAAGACGTCCTAACCAAAGCAACATCCCTTACGCTGTAACCGGGACCGTTAACCTCCGGATACGGTACATCGCACAAAGGCTCGCCACCCGCCCCATAAGATTGAAAAATATCATGAGAGCAAGGCCCATTGAAGCCTGCTAGCAACCGTTGGGAAAAGCTTCGCAGGAAAGACACCCTGCCCAAATACCGGTGCTGGTAAGTAGATTAAAAGCACGCAAATTTGTACCATCGCATTAGTGGTATGCAGAGTTGAAAACGTACCCTACTGTAGCAAAGACCTACTTGTACAAGTAGCTTGCTTTGCTGTTTCATGTAAATTTGGCATGCACAGGAATGGTCGTTCACCGGTATTATTACCTGGTTTCTTTTTCTTTTTCCGGTACCTTCACAGTACCATATTGCGGATGCGGAAGCAGGGTGTTCAAAGTTAAAAGAGTGTTCAAAGTTAAAAGAGGGCACAGTGCTTTCAGTAACGAGTACTCGCAGCGGTACCGTGGGTTGAACGCAGAAAGTTGTGTTGGGTTACCGTACTTGTACTCGTACTAGTACTGTACTACTTTATGGTGTAGACCAGTAATGCCTGTGCATTTTGGGTGGCACATCGGAACGTATGGTGACAAGGTAGCCAAAGTGAAGATAAAGTGTCAAGCTTAATCAATATCTCGCTAATATTATGAAAACTGTGGCTATGCTGACTAAAGGTCAGGATCAGGAGACTCTTCTTGGGGAAAGTATAATTGTTCTCGTTTAATGTATGATACCATTTCTGAGTCCTGACAAAGTTCTACTGTGATATGGCGTTTTGCTATAATTCAAGTTACTGACCTTTTAACCAAAAAAAAAAAGGGACAAAAGTACCACAGAGTAGGGTGGAGTAAGTTAGAGTAGTGGTAAATTAGCGGTTTCAGCGTATATCAAGCCCATACGAAATATCATAGCACAGTACCGTACCGGTAAGCCAAGAGTCCACCAACCCCCCCCCTTTGCCCCGGATATTCCCACTTACGCACTTGCTTATTTACCGGTATTTGAAAGGAAAATTAAAGCCCCTGCTCTTCATTTCAGATTTTCCCTGCTACCTGGTTTTGGCAGTTTTCAATTCTTGCTTTGTGGTCCGAATTGTTGCCCGATTAATTCTCCGGGGCCCGGAGAAGAGGCATAGAAATCCACCCCCATGTCGCGGGTTCTCGCTCTAATTACTCGTACACTACTCGTACCGTAGCCCAGAACAAGTACCGGTACCGTACAAGTACTCGAGTATCTAATGCCACCGCTGCTCAAGCGCATGATAAACATTACGTGTGACCTATTCCAGGCCAAATTCTCCTGTCTCCTGATCCCTCTTACTTGCTACAAGTACTGTACTCGAGTACAGCGTCCAGATCATGCCCTCTTCGGATTCCGGTTGATTGCTGCGGGTTTCCGTTTCTACGCCAGAGCCTTGCGGCCAGAGGAGGCACACCGCAGTGAGGAAGACAGTGACAAGGGGGTACGAGTAAGGTAAGATCCGGCAGCCAATAAGTTACCTGTACGGTCCCGGTCCATTGTTGATTTCTTCTTGTTTGCGATGTCTTTCCTCTCCCCCCTCCACCCCTCATTGAGACATTATCCTAAAGCTTGCAAAAGGGAGCCAACAACTCCTTCCATCCCTTCTTATTTTCTTCTAGAATTCGATCGCGCAACAGTGCTCAGCGGGGTCATACTGACATTTTTGCTTTGAAGAATCGGGCACCAATATATGCCAGTACAGTACTATGAATTCTCAACTTTAGCACCGGTAGCTCGCTAAGTGGCAATTACACAGAGCTCTGGAGAGAAAAGAAAAAAAAAGAAGGTTTCACAACTCTTTGTCCAGGGTGTTGTTGTTGACCTTTAGGAAGGTTTGGACTGGTATCAGCACACGAAGCGTGCCCATGATCCCGGTCCGAAGCTGGGAATCCAACTTTCCCCGGGCCCATTCCTGAAGTTGACTTTCCACAGTGGGATTTCCTTCAACTGTGAGAGTAGCTGCGGGTTGTGATCACGATTGCCTTGCACAGACCGTTCTCGTCCACCGTACACAAGCGATTTATCCTCACTTCTGGGGAACAAGTACGGCACGCACCGATCCCGTTTCGCTGCTTATCAAGTTATCACACTCAGCAGATCCCCGACTGGCGGGCACGGCCAGCATCTTGTCAGACCATGGCAGAAATAGCAACCCCCCCATCATAAACTGTCCTGTGATGACGGTACGGCACCTGACGCGAGAAAATGTTTAGAATTCCGTCGATTGCAGAGCGTGTGCTCATATACAAGTACTGCACTATCGGCACCGGTACTAAATTTACCATTGATACGAACTTGGGTCTCGCTCGCACCAAGGACAGAATGGCGGGGAAGAACCGAAAGAAAGAGAGGGAGGGTGCGCGGAATATTCCTTACAGAAATAGCCGAGCCGGAAGGATGGAACGGAGGAAGGGGGGGACAGAAAATTATTTTTGTCGCATTCCTATACATTCCCCTCGCTATCCTCCACAATACCGTATCATTCAATTGTTTCAATATTGCGAAGGCCAATGTCTCGGTGCGGGCAATGCCCAAGTTTGTACCGGTGGTATAAGATAGTATGATCCATCAAACACACACCCCTGCACTTGACGATATTCTAACTCTTTTTCCCACCTTACTGTACAGGTGACAGGTAAAACGGCCATACTACGACCAAAGCTGAAACAGCGGGAACATACTGTGCCGGTACCGGTGCTCGCACTTGTACTCGTACTGGACCGTACTAGCAAAGTATCAGTGCCGTACTTGTGCTGAACTCGTATCAGTGCACCTGCATGCAAGCAATGAAGATCAAGTCAACATTACCGAACCGAAATCTCAGGACCCATCCTGTACACCGGGGCACAAAAAGCAACTCTCTTGTTCGAGCTGGGTTTTTTTGTGTGTTGAATCACATCACATCATGGTCCAAGTCAACCCAACTCAACTCAAGTCCTTATTAATATTGGACTAAATCGGTGGTTCATAATGCTCGTACCGTACCGTAGCGGTATCCTCCCTCGGAGTGCTGTGGACTCCAATGCCGCAGCCAGGCACAAGTAATAATATTGGTATTATCATAGTCAGTGAATAAAGTGCTGTGTGCCGTGAAAAACAAAGGAGATGGATGACACGGGCTGGAGTCTGTTACTCGTACTTGTACCCATCTTCCGGGTGCCTTATCATACCGGTACTGTAATACCTGTAGAACTCTAAGGTGTAGTATTATACTACCGTAGTACGGTACAGTATACTTCCTCCTACCACAATACAGTAATATTATCAAGCCTACAAGTTTATTAATTAGTACGGATCCGGCTTTTTTTTTTTTTTTTTTTTATTCATACGTTTATTGATTATGGCTCAAAAACCTACATGCACCTCGCGGTATGGCAATAGAAAAAACCTTAATTTCACATGCATGAACAAAAGAAACATATCTTTCCCGGCTTTCAAACCTCCCTAGGCCCACGCAGACCAAGCCTGGTGAGTGGCCCCTATTTCGAGCTAATATAGCTCCTCGCATCGCTTCAGATGACTAACAGATTAGAGCCGACGCCCAATTCGCATACCTCGGGCCCATACATGGTAAAGTAATAAACCCCTAACAGGCTTCCAACCTGGGAGGTAAACAAAGTATAGCTGTGCATACGCCGATGCAACAAAAAAAGAAAAGAAACCAAAGCCCTAAAGAAAACCAAGGTCAGGTTGTTGACATATCCACCTCGTCGTCAACCCTTTCCCCATCCCCTAACGGGGGTGGTTGGGGGCGAAGGGGGCAGGTAAGGGAGTGGGCGTCGTGAGGTCCATCACAGTTGATACACTGAACAGAAGAATGGCTGCAGGGGCGACCGCGAACACGACAGGTGGAGGTGGGACAAGTGTGATCCCTAGTGGCGTGCGAAAGAGTGCACCAACGGCAGCTTGCAGAGCTGACGCATTTGTTAGTGTGATGTCCATAGCTGTGACAGATAGAACACTGAGTATAGCGGTTGTAGCGCAGGCGGCGCTCGGTTCGGTAGAGGTTGGAAAAGGCTGAGAGGCGTTTGCCTACCAAATATTCGGCCTTTGGACCAGTGATAGAGATAACAATTGTGGAGGCAGACTTGCCATCCCGTGCGTCATCAGAAGTGAGCCATCTAGGTTGCCCCCGTAAGGGACAGGCCAGGGTTAAAGGTAGTGAGCTCGCTTGCCACAGAGGCAAGAGGGAAGGAGGTAGGAATGCCATGAACCAGGAGTTGGGTGGCTGGGGTGTCGAGATGAACGGTGGAGGCACCTGAAATGAGGTGGAGAAAAAGCCCAACCTTGCTATTAAGCGTGGTTGCCTTAACCGAATCCATCGTAGTGAGAGTAACGAGTCCGCCTGCCAGGGAGACAGACTGGACCAAGGTAGCGGCCAGGGCCTTGTTGATACCGTCTCGAAGTTGGACGGCGGTAAGAGCTAGCGGGGAGCCATCCATCTTAATAAGGAGGCGACGCTCTCGCATAGTGAGGCCCTTTCTTTGAGGCTGGGCAGCAGCCGGAGAGGAGGGTTTAGGGGGCTGAGGAGCCACCTTCTGGGTTCTGGGGGCGGACCTCCTGGGCTTCCTTGCAACCGTTGTCCAACTAGAGGGGGCGGCAGGAGCAGGGGTGGCAGGGGCAGCAGTAGAGGTAGTAGGGGGGGCCGAGAGGAACTCTGGGACCAAGGGGTCAAGGGGCACAGGGGCAGGGGTGGTGGTAGCAGGCTGAGGGGGGGGGGCGGGGGCACGGGCCGCCTCGCATTCCTTAGTTAGAGTGGCGAGGTCCTCAGTAAGGCCATCGACTGCTTTCCTGTAGTCGTCATGCATCAGCTGCATCATCCTAAAGACGATGAGCCAGGAGTTGCCAAGTTTGGGGTTTTCAGCGAGGCCCATTTGGAGACCTATCGTGACGAAAAGGTCTTGAAAATAGGGGGCACCCGGGACAGACCCCTCCTGTACCTCGGGAGGTATAACGGGGAGGGTGGAGGTGGTATCGCTTCGTGGCCTCTTAAGAGAGGGTTGGCCTGAGGGCCGAAAGGTAGGAGGGGACCTGCGGCCTGGCCATTCTGGAACAGGGGCAGGAGGGGGTTTAGGGCCTTTCCCCTTCCCCCATGAGGAGGAGATGGGATGGTCCATGGTTGGGAGGGGGGGGGCTTCTAACTGCGGGGTAAAGAGGCGAGGCTGTGAGAAAAGGTTTTCAGCCAATGACAGGAGGTCTTGGCAGAAAAGAGGGTGTGGTTTTTTCTTTGACTGTGGTTGTAACGGACACGGAGGATGTAGTACAGATCCGGCTTTTTTTTTTTTTTTTAATTCATATGCTTATTGATTCTGGTTCAAAAACGTACATGCACCTCGCGGTATGGCAATAGAAAAAACCTTAATTCCAGCGCACAACAATAAGGAAACATACCCAACGCAGCAGAATCTTCAAAACGGAGCAAGATAGCCCCTCGCATCGCCCACGATGACTAACAAAGTAAAGTAAGGAAATCCCTCCCACAGAGGCTAACTCTGACTAGCAGCAGACACAAGAAAAGAAAACCTATACCAACTTCCTCACCCAGGTGCCCCCGAGCACAGAACCAGCAAGGAAAATAAAACTAATAAAAACTCAGGCCCCAGGGGGCCCTTGAATAGTGGAGCGCGGCGAAGAAGCCGGGGAGGCAGAGGGCGAAGCAGTATATGCGCGTATGGCAGGCATGTCGGGCGGGAAGCCCGTTGCAGTGGAGGAAATGTAACTGGCTAGCTGAAGAATCAGTGTTGCCGATGACCATACAGGAGCGTCAGGACCAAGGCTGTTGATGCCCTGAAGATGGGCTTCATGCTGCCTGGCCTTAGCCGGACAAAGGAGGATAGCATGTTCGAAGTCTTCATCGCCTTCTTCGCAGAAAGGACAGAGTGTAGGCTCGTCACTGGAATACCAAGATCTGTGGGCGGCCAGGTAACTTTTGCCTGACTGTATCTGATGGAGATGTCCTGCCACGAACCTCGGGAGGCCCATGAAGGCGTGGGGAGTAGTTGAGGGTTTGAACTTATACGGTTCCCTGGGAGGGCTGGATTTCGCCCATCCCACTAGGAGGGATCCTTTCAGTTCCGCTTTCAATGAGTGGTAAGAGGGGGAGCCTGGGGCTTCATAGGCCTTTGGTGCGATCAGGTGAGGACAAGCCAGTGGGAAAGCAGCTGGCAGTAGGAACTTTATTGAGTGTATGGCCGCATCCAGTGGGAGGTGCTTGTAGTTGGAGGAGGGAGTAGAGGACCAGAGTGTGGGCATAGCACACCCCTTAAGGCCCTTGAGCAGACAACGATTCGAGGGAGCCCTCCATCGATCCCAGGTTGGTACCCCAGGATGGAGACGGGCCGTAGCAGGATTGACGGATGGGGGGGAGCATGCCAGCCTAAGAGCAGCAGCTCTTCTTTTGTGTAGCAGAAACTCCCCGAGTAGAGGGATAGCAGCCTCGCAGTGGAGAGCCAAGATAGGTGTAGAGGAGAAACAATTGGTCACCCATCGTAGGACCCGGTGCCAAAAAGAGTCAAGCTTCCTGAGCATTGTGGGGTTGGGGGCAAAAAAGTCACCCCCGAAGGTAAGAATAGGAAGCAAAAGGCCAACAGCGAGCTTGCGATTGCACCAAGGAGAAAGACCCCCCCCAGGGCTGCTGAGGCAACGAACCAAAACAAATGAGGCCTGGGCTAGAGCTAGGCGCCGTGTAAAGTGAGGAGTGGTGTCCAAAGTAGGGGTAAGCCAGTAGCCTAACCACCTCACTTGAGACCCAGGAGAAAAAACCAGGCCATTAAGGCCGACAGGCAAGGAGCACACCGGGCGTTTATCCCTAGGCGTTCTCCAGTGAAGAAGCTCAGTCTTTGGAACAGAAAAGGAAACCCCCAACCTCCGTCCTTCCCTCTCAGGAACATGAAAGTAAAACTGAAGGGAGCGGACATTCCCACGATAGGAAGGAGAAGCTACAGTAACAGAAAAATCATCCACATAAGAAACTATCAGGCCCCTCGGAATGAATCGGTGAAGTGAAGAAACATATATAACAAACAAGAGCGGAGAAATAGGTGACCCTTGCGGGGTACCAACGGAAACGGCAGAAAACACATCAGGAGCCCCTTGAAACACCAAGCGGCACTTGCATTGAGACAAAAAAGAAGTCACCCATCCAACCAAGTAGGGCGGAACCCTCGCCCGGCGGAGGATGGTAGCGAGCTGATTCCTGTTGACATTATCAAAACCCCCTTTGATGTCTAGGAAAAGCGAGGAGACGCAGAGGCCCCTAGCTTGGAAAAGCTTAACCTCATGGGAAACTGTGGAGATAGCGTCGGAGCAGCTCAGGCCAGCGAGAGAACCACACTGATTCAAACTCAGGAGGCCCTTAGAGCGAGCCAAGGAGGCGAGGCGCAGGGCTACAATCCGCTCAAGAATCTTTGATACCGTCTCGAGCAGTACTATTATCCGGAAGGAAGAAGGTGAGGAATAGTCGAGTTTGCCGGGTTTATCAAGAACCACCCCGTTGGCTCTCTTCATTGAGGGCGGGTGGTACCCATGTGCAAGCAAGGGGTTAAGCAGGGTCGGGAGGAGACAATCATTAGCACGGTGGATCCTCTTCCATACCCCATACGGGATAGAGTCGGGACCAGGGGCGGAGTTGGAAGACGATCGCCTGAGCACAGCAGACACTTCGGAGGACGTAATGTCCGGTACCTCGCGGAGAGGCGGGAGGAGAAAGGAGGCCCGGGGACCTGAGGGCGGTGCGGGAAAGAAGTGTGACAAGAGAGCCGAGTTGATTTCCACTGGGGAGTGAGCATCGGGAAGCGAGGGAAACCTTGCCGGGGCACGCCCATAGGCGAACCTCTTGGCTGTCCATATAGACTGGGAGTTGACTCCAGAGAGGAATTTTTTCCAGTGAACAGCCTTGGCCTTGGCAATGGCTTTAAAATAGGCGGATCTGCCCAGCTTAACCTGGGCCTGAGGGATGATCTGGCGCCGGGCTGCACGCGCTAAGGAGTGGTATCGAAGGCGGAGTTCTGACAGGTCAGGTGACCACCAGGGTTTGGAGTAGAGCGATGGCCTCTTCAGGGGAGTAGCCCCCAGAGGGACAGAGGTGACGGCTTCCAGCGAGTTGTCAAACCATCTGGCCAGCGAAGCCGATGTCGGGAGAGAGGGGGGAGACGGAACCACCAAGTCAGCAAGGATGGGGGCCACTATGTTCCAATCAGTGGCACTCCAGTTTGGTTGGGCACGATGTTCTTTAGCCGTTACCGGCTCCAGTACTATAGTAATGGGGATGTGGTCCGACCCAGTCGAGTGCAGAGGGGCGTCCCATGAAGCAAAGAAAGACAACAAAAGGTCATTGGCAAATGCCAAGTCAAGTACAGAGGGGCGATGTGCCACATTAAAGGGAAACCTGGTATAAACCCCAGGCGTGTTTAACAGGGAAAAAGAACAATCCGCCGCTCTCCGAAAATAAGGAACAGAGGTGGCAAGTTCAGAGCAAGAAATAACCCGGCTAGGATCGGCCAGGGGGTGATGGATGTTGAAGTCCCCCACAGAGAGAGTGGGGAACCTATGCCTAGGAAATAATAAAGCAGGACTGATTGACCGCATACGGCCATCCTGAACAGCAACAGAATAAGAATTATACAAGCGAAACAACCTATGAGCAGACCCAAAGACACCATTGGGCGAGTGGAAGTCCACAGCCATCCGGTCCCCCTGGCCAAAAAGTACCGGAAGAACAAAAATCCCTGGTGGCAGACGTTCTGAGACGTACACTGCTACCCTGGACTTGTACAAGGGGGAAACAGGAGGAGCAAAACACTTATATGATTTAGCAGCTGGAGGGGAGCCCTTCCATAGAGGAAGGTCTTGAAGAGCAACAACAAGAGGAGAATTTTCAACCGACGTAAAAAAGGAAAACAAAGTATGAAAGACATGAATGCTGCCAAGGCAATTATGCTGGACACAGGAGAACTTAGCCGCAGTAGCGGCAGATGGAAAAGACAGGTGTGGTGAAGCATCTTGCGAAGGGGGTGCAGGTTGTACCTCCATTAACCAGCAAGGTCGTGGGAGTTGTCAACATCCTCTGCCCAATCGGCTGGGGGAGGAGGGAAAAGAGTTCTATGGGGCATAGGTGCTGCTAGCGGAGCCGAGGAGAAGGGTTGGGCTGGAGCATCGGGAAGCTGACCAGGGATTGTTGGCTGGAACTGTCGGGATGACTGCGGCGGGAACAT